TGCTTGTGAGGTGGTTTAGGCTAGGATTATGGTTGTGTGCATTTTATTGACTGTGCACTCGAAAGAAACCAATAGAATTGGCCTGTTGATCTAGTCTGTCCGGGTGTGAAGAGAAAGGTACCTACAGGTTGAAAGATGGCTGCGTTGTCAAACTACCATTGGTTTTGGCCGAGTCGACCATACTAGCTGGGTGGTCCACTACGGAAAGCTCAGCAAAGTCTTTGAATTGAAGACAGGAGTAAGGAGAAACGGTCTGATATTACTCATTGTCAACCTGACTGTAATGGATTGATTCATGACATGGGCCGTAGGCAGCGAGAAAACGGGTTCAAAAAGACCTTAGAAGATTTCCGTTTCAAAGAAGCTGTATGCATCATGCCTCACAAACTTGGGGATTTCAAAGTGAAGACCAGGAAGTTGCCAGAAGAGGCTGGAAAAACACAACTTTAGGTGAATGTATAGGAGGGGGAGGTCAAAAAAGTACCTAGCCAAACACAATAAACACCTGTCACCATAGAATGGAGAAGTCTAAATGAAACAGTCCCTCCCGCTTACCCAGCTTAAACAACATCGTTACAGGCACCACGGATGAAGGTGTAGGAACTAGTCAGGGGAAGAAAAGCAAGATTGACGTCATCAACTATTCTGAAGTCGTTGCGGAGACCCGAAGTACATAGTGGAAGGAAAAGGGCCCAAATTTCCTCTCTAATATCTGTAGTGGACTAAACGGCTAAGATCGTTTATATGCAAAATGAGAAGGACAAAACAAATACAAACATGTATGTATGTAGAAGGGTATTCAGTCCATATTAATTAATATACGCATAAAATGCAGTTATTTGAAAAGTTATAATTGTCGCAAAAATACCCAAATGTAGACGTACAGAATGGTAGGGATGAAGTAGTTTTTTTCTTGAGTATACAGATGCTCACTACACTTAAGAGATGCCAACGACTGGACGGCACTTGTGGAGGGAAACGTAGATTGTAGCAAAGGATCCCAATGTGGATGTACTGATCAGCTACGAGGCAGAATTGGTTGGCAGATGTGGAAAGCAAGAAGCTAGATAATGTCCTTGTTCAATATCATGTAACAACCACGATTTTCTGCGAATTCATTATTTTACTATTTTGCGGTGAACGTATAATTTGATATTTTCCGGCCACCATATATCAGGTCAGTGTGTCTAGATTCTTCAGAGACTTGGAGTGAGCGTCAGAGAAAACCTTCCAAATTTTCACATATGTCTGCATGCTGAAGACAAGATGGCAGGATATCGATGATAAAAAACAATGATATCCGGTAAACAGTGAACTAGCCATCACCCGATTGATCAAGAAACAAAAAAACGTAAACGGATGTAGACTGAACATTTCCTGAAGTGACCTACAAATGGCATCAAAAGTCAGGCCTGTGAGGGGGGTCGTTGTTAGAGGCGATCAGTCATTCTGAGATGGAAGACGAAATGGAAGCTTATGGCCAGCTATGCAGGCAGGGGCAAGTGATTGCGGTTAATGAAATGGGGTGGAGATTTGTTCATATTTGTTGCTCGCCCAAAGTCTGGTTGCTTTGATGAAAAACACAACTACACCAATGTTTGAACAAAGCACTCAACTTCGGTGGTGACCTTAGTAAACGGTTTACAGTTCAACATTTATGAGAACCTGTTCTGATTGCTTGTACATAAATAGAGCAATATAATCTTATGAAAAAGTATTAATTTACGATAGTTCAGGATTGTAATTTATAACATTACTGATCGTTCCTGTAAAAATGGTATGCATTTCTTGTAAATTCACACGATTATACGAAATATAATTTATTATTATTTTACACTTGGTAAGGAACAAACGAATAACAATAGTAATAAGCACGGCAGAGTTAAGGGTTTTCAGGGAATGTTAAACTGGGGAACAGAACTATTTTTCCGAAACAGCAATCCAGTGGCTTCAACATTTTGAAGGTTTTTAGTGAGGGAGCAGAATTAGACAGTTAACGAAGTCGTGAGAAACTTCTGGAAAATTCTTGCTTTTAGCCTGTAGGTGGATTTATGAGAATCACTCCTAAATGTTTTCCACAAAATTTCATATATTAATTGGTGAAAAGCATGGGAAGCACTTCTATAAGAATTAATTTTATACTCGTGTAAAGGAATAAGTGGATAAAAAAGGAGAGGACAGACATTAAAAATGATTACGAAGACAATTAATGAGGGGAAACTTTTAGGATGCTATCAGCATGTGGTGGCTCAAAATATATTAGGTGACAACCTAGTTTCTTCTAAGTGTATTCAGTTTACCTCGCAGGATTCTAAGGGAGTGGTTGGTTCTAGGTATAATCTTGGCTGACTTAACTGGAAACATGTCAATACATATATGGAGTCCCACAACAGGAAAATTTGTGCGAATGCTTCAAATGTAGAGAAATTTCTCCGAATATATTTAAATAATCTTTAAAGCACCTCGTATAAGCATGTAAGAAGGCATGTTGATGTCTAGGTCAACGCCAGATACATTGGATATTGTACTGTCTTTTCAAGGTTGCTCCTCAAGGTTGTTTGTCGCCCTTACAAGCGAGTCAGTCACTTGCTGGTGCTTAAGTTTTGTTTTTCCGGCGTACCTGAAAGCCTGTTTCGTATTGCATTTTGGATTAACATGAACAGCGATTATTGATTTTAAACACAGGGGAAATGTTGCTTTGGTTTGTCAATTTCATGATTTAAGCCTTACCTCACTTTCGATCAGCACACCTCGAGGGGTGTTTTTTGTCCCAAAAAATCTGCAATGCGCCCGAAAATAATGCTAGCTGGGTCGTTAAAATGTTTGCATAATTAAAGGGTAATTTCCACCAAACGTTTACATTGGTTTTCCCCGAAATAACCCCACAAACCATTAAGTTTTATCAAAATGTTCTATTTGAGTAACTATGTGAATTGTTCTCATAGTTTAATCCACTTTTAACAAGCTATGCATAAAATATCTGTCAAAAAACCTCCATTGTAAATACTTTAAAACAGTTAGTTCTGCATTTGAATTTAGACAAAACACCAAGAAGACGTAATTTGTCTGAATCGTGTAGTGTATTTGCGCAACACATTCCGGACAATCTGACCACACACGGACTTGTGAGAATATTTTTCTCACCTCTTAACTCTTTATTAATTTCATATGTATTCCTCTGACAAGTCCGTGTGTGATCAGATTGTAAGTACGTTTTGTAATTTTCAGAGACATCCTAAAAATTGTCAGAATATTCAGATAAAAAAATCATGGATTAATCAAATTAACCAAGGTATATGAGTTTCAAGCACATATTATAATGAAGTTGGTCAACATCTGTCCTTTGTCGGGATAACCTTAGGAACATATACGTAACTAACACAAAGTGTATATATTTTTGCTCTGTGTAGCTTGATATACGGTAATAAACGTCCTCAGCTTTTTGTGTTTTAATCCTCATTGTTGTAATCAATCATGAAGGCAGATATATTTCAAAGAGTAAAGGCTCATAATCACTCACTACGTAAATAGCAGTGTCCTGAGGTGCACATGGACAACTTTGTGTAGACAACTCACGAAAAAAGTTTTTGGCTTACCTTGGAGAATGACATTTAAGCTAAGTTAAACTATAACAACAATCGTGGTGTATGACCTTTGATATAATTACATTTACGTGTTTGCCAGAAGTTGTCAGTGCAGTGCTCTTGAATTTCTTCCTACTTATGTCATATCTGAAGAATGGCCGAATTTTATTTTGGGTTTTCTTTCAAGTTGCCAAAGTGTCCCAAAGCTCTATCTTGCTGGGCAGATGTAAACCATTAATAAAGTTAGCTCAACTGCAAGATCTGGGTCTATTAGTGACAGGATTTCTTTTTTTATTTCTCACAAAATGCCTCGTGTACATTCCTGGTAGAAAAACGATTGTAAAATGTTTTCGGTTGATTGTTTTCACTAGTTACATTGCATTTAGTCATCAACAAGGTGATATGGGACATTGAACTGGTAGTATTCAAGTAATTCTGTACATCTAGATAGTAACTGCTAGACTGAAATTGCTGAAAATTCGTGTCTTCTATATTGTCTTGCTATGAAATAGTGCTACTCAAAAGCCATATGCCCCCTGACTGACTTGTTTCAGCGTAGAACTTTTCACTGCTGTGCAGACTTCGAGTCGCCACACTTCACTTTACACACAAAGCAAGAGGAAAAGGTAAAGATAAATGCAAAATAGAGACAGTAAACAGAGGTATGAGGCAAAAAGAACAGCAGTATCGAAGAAAAATATAGTTTTGTTGGATATTGTAAGTCACAAGGAGTGGATGCATCTGCGCCAGTCTTTGAGACCGATTTTGAGCCATATCACCAATTGTCTCCAGCCTTCATTGGTTTTTATCCTAAGCCAGGAAGTCTACACTCCCCTACATGGCTGGCTGAGACTAACTGTTGTGAATTTGATTGACTGATGAAGCCATGTTTTGGTTTGACCATCATGTGCTAGCTCTTTCACAACCTAATCCACCCTGTGTCAGTTAGCTAGCATTTCTCGTTGTCAAGGTAGGCGATGGATGTCTATTCATGTATGCGTAACACATGTCCTAACCATCTCAATCGATGCAACTTCACAGTCGTGTCTATTGATTTCGCCTCCTTGACTTACCTAGCACTGCTCACTTTATTATGCCACTTAACACGGGAGATCAAACGCAGGCACGTATTATCAAAGACAGCTAGCCAGGCAGGCTTTTCATGTCTTTCACTTTCAATGGCCATTTCTCTCACAGCCATACTGGAGATATGCACTTCTGATGAGAGAGTACCTTGATCCATTGTTGTCCTACATCTAATACACTAAACACTATTCTTCAGAAAATGTCCACTAATTGAAATATTAGATTTATGCACATGCATATCTTGTACTCTCTGTTTGCTTTTTATACCATTATTATTATTATTATTATTGTTATTATTATTATCATTATTATTATTCACTTTTCAGGGTTATGGGTGACATTAAAGATCAGCCATGTTTTTTAAAAGATTTAAAACCAAATATGAAACGTGTCTCTTCTGTTTTCATAGTTCTTGAATTGGGTTTGTTTGCTTTTATGGCATTATTAACCCAGCCCTTGCAACATACTGATAGGTCCAGTTACACGTACAAAAGACGGGAATGAAGTTCGTACAGTTAAGGTGGCTGATCGTACAGGAACAATTAATTTATCTGTTTGGAATGAGAATAGTTCTCTGATTGCACCATGTGATGTTTTACAACTTGTACAGGGCAATACAACAGTTAGAGGTGGTTGTTTAACCCTGAATGTCGGCCGTTTTGGTCAACTAATAAAAATTGGAGAGTAATTCGTCTTTACAAAAAAAGAAGAGAAAAATTGTTTTTCCCTTTATAGATTTTGTTTTCCTTTTGTTGAATCCCCTGATTTCAGTGCTTATAATGATGAATGGTTGACGAAAACGGTAGGTGACTCTCAACTTCCTTTGTGTGTGTAATGCGTATCTGTTTTTACAGAGTGATTCAAATTCAACAACGAAACCGGAAATTGTCAATAAATAATACAATGATAATACTACTACTACTAAAAATATACTTTTCTAATCACTATCTTTCTTCTTTTTCCTTCATGCTCTGTCTACTCTCAGAGTGGTGTATAGTTATGAAATGAATGGTAGTCTTTTTGATTGGACACTAGTAACTAGTATGACGTGTCTAGTCCTTTCTTTTGTACAGACTGAATTCTCTCAGTCAGGTTTTGCAATGTGGCCACCATTCTAGGTAGCTCGCCATCACGGTGCACATTGATTTGATGATATTAAATAGTTGAAGGCAATCGGCCACAAGAAGCCTGGACCTGCAACACTGCGTGACGCGGGTCCGAATCTAAGAAGGGACATGAGTTCCTTCAAGGTTGCAGATACACCTTGCTGATGAGTGCCAGCTAGCACGAAACCTAGGTCCAAGGCTTCCTGTGGCCGATTGCCTCCAACTATCTAATATCATCAAATGAATAGTAGTCTGACGGAAGCTCTACAGGTGTATATGATGACTAGTTTTCACAAGATCATTTGTTTCCATTTGAGGCTATCTATACAACCCTGCAGAGTGTTGTGTCATATCATGCCATAGCTTGTTTAAAAGAACTACTACTGAGATTGTACACTCAATGTACAATTCACATTCAACGATGTTATTTACAGACAACAAGATGGGATAGCAATGGGATCTCCACTGGACCCATTCCTGCTAGCAGACTGCTTCATGGCAAACCTCGAGAATGGCCCACTGAAATCAACTATTGATAATTTCCAATTGTATGCTAGATATCTGGACGACATCTTTGTTATCTCTTATTCAGTTACTACAAATATTCAACAAATGCGCCATTCAGCTACAAAGTTTACTCTTGAAATTGAAAACGGATCTAAAATTCTTTTTGTTGATGTTGAACTTACAAGAAGAGCTGAAGGAACTTTAAGAAGGTTTATCCATAGGAAGCTCACATGGGATGGCCAACTGACAAGCGTTTACAGCTGGGTACCAATCAGTCGAAAAAGATACCTTATTAGACCTCCTGCTACTCGCGTCCGAAGCATCTGTAGCTCTGATACCCCGGAAAAAGAACTACGTTTCCTGAAGGAAATCTTCATACAAAACGGTTATCCACCAAGATCCATAGACAAAAACATCTAACAGAAAATCTAAAAACAAGAGACGCCATCCGTGAACCTCGACTTCAATGGTGACCTACTCAGCGATATCCTTAAAAGGAGAATTCCCACTTCTTTAAGAAAAACTTTCTTTGCGGCAACACTGAAAGTAGTGTTCTCTAGTGGCCCACTGATCTGCAGAAGCCTGACCACTTCTATGTGTGTATATATTAGTTCACCTGTTGCTGTGCAGCCAGGTGAATCGGTCATTCGACGCGCATCCTGTCAAAAAGGGTCAAAGAACACTATCCAGTGTGGCGTTGCAGAAAGGAATTAGTGGCCGTATAAGGAGTGCAATAATCGAATATCTCGTCACTACTGGTCATTCCGTGTCAACAAACGCCTCCTGCTTCAAAGTAATCTACAACGTGAAGAACAACCTGCCAAAGACAATACGTTTCCGTCTTCTTTGCATTGCAGAAGCCCAAGCCATTCAGTTAGAAGAACCAGAACTATGTATACAAAAGAAAATTATTCAGCCACTCTTCTACTATCATGGTAACAACTCTGTTGATTTAACTTAACTTTTGCTGGTTTGCTTGTTTTTTTCTAACTACTTAAAACTCTTGTATTCCTTTAAAACTCTTACGTAATTCTGTATTTTATTTTGTTTCCATGTATACCCTGAGCACAACTCTTTCATTAAACTATTCATGTCATTACGTAACTCTTCTTTAGCAATTGTTTGTGACAACTCATCACTTTCTTTTGACATATACAAAATAACCACATATATCTGCGACTGTGCTGCTGTGAAAATGAATTCTCTGAACTCACTGGTCTTCTCGCCACTGAAGAGTTTCCTTGTAGTGATGTAGATCATTTGAGATGGGTTCGACAGCTATAGGGACATCCTTTTTTATCATATGATATGGTTTATTGGAAGGGTTTACGAGTAACTACGGTCGGTCGGTCGGTTTTCGACATAGAACTTTGCACAAATGTGCGGCAGTTCAAGTCGCCACACTCCATGTTGCACACAAAGCAAGAGAAGAAAGTAGAAGAAATGCATAATATAGGCAGTAAACAGAGGTGTGAGACAGAGGTATAGTAATAACGAAGAACAAAACAGTTTTTACCGTCCCGAGGACCCCAACCAGGAAGTCTACACCTTCCTATGTGGCTTAGACTAACTGTTGTAGATTTCATTGACTGGTGCCATGTTTTCGTTTGACCGCCTCTAGCTCTTTTCCAGCCTGGCCCTATATCAGCTAACATTGCCCTTCGAGGAAGGCGAGTAACTACAGTATATGTAGAGGGTATTACTTATAAGAGAGAGAAATGTGTGTGTACTGCTGGGATATGTTACCAGGTAAGTGCAGTACTTTAGAATTCTAATATTTATTACCTCAGAAATGATTCTTTGTTTTTTCTTTCAGGTTATTATATGTCAAATAAATCACATAAAAAAGAACCGATTAATTCACCTCGTTTACAAATTTTAATCGATAAAGTTACTACATGTGGTTCAAATAAGCCTGAAGATGCACTTTTTGGTGAAATTATCAATCTTTGCTGGTAATTATTACTATTATTATTATTTTTTCTGCTTATATTTTGTTTTACGTTCTACCTTTCTTGTTAAGTAGTATAACATTTTGAAGGATATTGAGAATAGGCGACGAGTGAGTTTTAGGTTATTCGATGAGATTGTGAGGTTTCATCGATCGAGATAGCTAGGGGATGTGTTGTGCATGCTGAGTCTACCACCTTCCTCAACGAGCAGTGTTAGCTGACATTGGATTGATATGGCTGGGAAAGAGTTGGCGGTTGTCAAACCAAAACATGTCATTAGTCCATAATGTCTTCGACTGTTAGCTGGTGCCAGTCATGTAGGGAGGTGCAGACTGCCTGGTTGGCTTCCTCGGGTTGTTAAAAACGAGTTTTTATTGATTTATTTAAGCACAGAAAAACTTGGTACAATATAACACCAAGCAGATACGCCACACAGCAATAATAAGACAACATAGATTCAAGTAAGCATAAAGGTAGAAAACCGATAAAGAACTTCGTCTGGAAGGAAAACAGTCATACTTAACAAGTTCAAACAGCATTCGTCAATTATCGTCGGAAAGGGTAAAAAGAAGGAAATTGCAGCACATTTACCATTGATGACTGCGGTTCTTGGTCACATCCGATAATGTTTCGAGCCACCGATTTGAGCTACTCCTCGGACTCTAACCAGTGAATCGCACCCACCGATGCTAACCTAACACAAATATCCTTCACCCCACGACGCCACGTCATGGGCTGACCACCTATCTGCTTGCTTTTTCTATCCTCTCCCAGGGTTAGCGAACCGAGACCTCTGGGATGACATTCGCGGCACATGTCCCAGCAACCGAAGCCGGTATTTCTAGATGACAACACTCAACGAATGGTGATCTCCGCTGTGTCCAAACACACGCCGCCTCACCTCAGAATTACCCACGCGATGATGCCATCGAACGCAACCAATCCTGTGGAGACAGCGATGATTGAATACGCAGAGTCGCCGACGCATATCTTCAGCTCAGAGAGACCAGGTTTCATAGGCGCAGAGCAAGACAACCCGTACGGAAGCATTGTATACTCGACCTAGAAATTACGCTTATATAGCTCTGACTGCCTGGTTTCAACGTAGAACTTTGCACCGATGTGCACCATTTTGAGTCGCCACACTTCACTTAGCACACAAAGCAAGAAAAGAAAGTAAAGTGAAATATAAAACAGAGACAGTAAACAGAGATATGATGCAAACGGATTAGTAATATGGAAGAACAATATAGTTTTAAGTGTTGGTTTGTAGGGATTCGATTGGTTACAGGATTTTCACTTGAATATCAATGAGATGCTCACTAGCGACTTGCCCTATTCAGGTAGGTAGTTACCTGGGGTTCTAGTGAGAAGTCGTGACCAGTAGGGTGCAGCAAGTCGCGTGTGAGGACAAATACTCGCCGAAGAAATTGGCTAGGGGTCGCGCTATGTCGTGAATTGGCAGAAGTTAGAATTCATGGGCTGGCCATTGGATCGGGTCCCAGTGGCTTAATGGTATACGGGCTCGCCTTGTAACCAGAAGGTCCTGGGTTGGAATCCCGGTGGGTGCGTACTGATGAAGAGTCCCAAACTAGGACGAAACAGCTGTCCAGTACTCCCAGGTTTTCCAATGGTTCTCTAACTAATGTCAGCTCATGATGAAAAATATAGTTTTAATTGGATATTATAAGTCACAAGGAGTGGACGCATCTGCGTCAGTCACTGAGAACGAATTTGAGCCATATCATCAATGGTCTCCAGCCTTCAATGGTTGATACTATCATGACGACCCCACCCAGTTTGGCAGTCCACACCTCCCTACGTGGCTGGTTGGCTAGCTTAAACTAACTTATGGTTTTCATTGACTGATGCCATGTTTTGCTCTGACCACCATGTGCTAACTCTTTTCCAACCTGATCCATCCTATGTCAGTCAGCCGACATTGCGCGTTGTTGAGGAAAGCGATGGATGTCTAGGGATGCATGCGTAACACATGTCCTAACCATCTGAATCGATGTAACTTCACAGCCTCATCTATTGATTTCCCCTCCCAACTACCTAGCCTCACCTCAACACTGCTCACTTTATTATGCCACTTCACACCGGAGGTAGAACGCAGATACTGACTGACACCGTCAGTACTTGTAAACTTGTATACACAATTAATACTAGCATAAGAAGGATGCCTGTCGACTTTTGCTTGCACCAAAGAGCATGTTGTCCGATAAATGGGAACCAAATTTGCTGTAGAATAGATCCTGGATAGTGAGATTTTCAGTCTTCTGTTGAAATCATATATCTTTCCAAGCAAATGTACTTGGTAGGTGAATGGCTTCTTTGATTGGACACTAGTAACTAGTGTGATGTGTTTGGCGCAGACTGAATTCTATCAGTTAGGTTTGCAATGTGGCCACCATTCATTCTAGGTAGCTCGCCATTACTGCGGTAATGTCTCTGACTGCAGCACTGGGTGACGCGGGTTCGAATCCCAGAGTTCCTTCAAGGTTGCAGATACGCCTTGCTGACTAGTGCCAACTAGCATGAAACCTAGGTCAAGTAAGGCTTCCTGTGGCCGATTGCTTCCAATCATCTTTTTTTTATTCCTACACCTTCCCAGTGGAACATGGGGCTTCAGGTTAATGGCTTGAAGTTTCTGTAGCAGCGGTGTTTACTTTTACAGGATGAGGTTGCTAGCCTCATGCCAAACCTTCCCTCTTTACCAGTCTTATTACTGGCTTGACGAGGTAAAGGAGTGCGTCGACTGGGGATAGAACTTCGGACCACCTGCGTGATCGGCGAGCATTCTACCGTTGTGCCACCGACATACTCACACAGTGATACACCCATTGACTGGGTATTGGTTTTCAGGAGAACCAAACACACCCATCCCTGCCTCTTGCGAGACGAGACCGGCATGCATGATCATCCTGTGGGGCAACCATAGGATGATCCTGCATCCAACCATCTAATACCATCAAATGAATAGCTTTTTTGTCAAGGTAGACATACACCTTCAATGCACAAAATGTAATGAGATTTCTAAAGGAAGCTTTTTTCCCACTAATTAAGAGTGCTACTACGTTACAGGTACTTAAAATCATCCCTTCTTATCAAATTAAGATTTCTGTTGGTTTTTTTTGAAAAGTCATTCACACCCTATTATTATTTTTATTGTTGTTCTTCAGCGAGTCAACTGCTGCTGTTTCTGATTTCTTTCGACTTGCTACTGTTCAGCTAATGCGTAAACATGCACAAATTCGACTTGGTGTACTCAGGCTACTTAGAATTTTGTCTTCACCTCAGGAAATCGTTAAGAAGATGGCTGTATCAATTGATCGTGCCAGTGAATTTATCCCATTATCAAATCGTCTTCGAAATTTGATTTTAGATAATTTACAGGTGGGTTAATCGTTTGTGTTGGAGATAAACTATTTCCTTCCTATCCATTTCTATCGAACTGTTCACAAACATATACTGACTCTGATAATGTGAATTTCAGCATGTTGGAGTAGCTTCAGAATGGTTGTGTGCCGTTGTTGTTATGATAATAGTGTGGTGAGAGGCGCTCGCTGATGTTCACCTGTTTCTCTTTGTTTACCATTGCGATAGTGTCTGCGTAACCCCATCTCAAAGTGACCATATGTGATCTTTCCCAATTTTGAAACTGCTTGCCTGACCCTGTCGCACATTCGTCGGTATTTCGCCTCACACTTCCATATGCTGCTTTCTCCCGACCTCCCAGCAGCGTCCCAAGTAACAGCTTCATCGCTGACAGATCTTGAACGCCACTCAACTGCACAGAAGCCTCGAAGTCCTGCCTGAAGATCCATATGTCTCCATCAAAAACTTCAGGACATAGGCTTTCCATTTGTTGGTAGGCAGAGATACCAAATTTAACAACAGAAGACAAGGGCCAGGCAACAGATCGTTTATTAAGGAAATCAACAGATATTTATAGATTTTCATGTACATTATTATAGATTATCGTTAGCAGAGAAACAGCGTCTTCTGATTGGTTGTTTCTCACTGAAAGTTAATCTTTCATCTCTTTGTGGCTGTTTCTTGAAGGTTTATCTGCTAATTGTATCCGCCTACGCAAAGTGTGCTGTGATTGGTTGTTGAGTCAGTCTTTGTTCTTTTTCTTTTCTCATGACAAATATTGGGGACATAAACATTGACATGAATTACTGTCTACCAATTTTGGCTAGCAGACAGCTCTCACCAAAATAGTAATTATTACTCATTTGCATTTCAAGTGGAACATATGTCTTCAACAACACATCTACATGTCACTCTGTTCTCTGAAGTCCTTTTTAGCTGGCTCCACGACTTTCCACAAAATTTCATTTCCCTCCTCACATTATCACTCCCATGTCATCCTTGAGGGGATATCCTACTCGTCGTTTTCCACTTGGGTTCCACTCGAGGGCGCCTGGAGTGTGATGTCACTCAGTGGTGTCTCCTCAAGGTATGGCCAGTCTATCTGCATTCCTTTCTACGTATTTGTTTGGAGATAGGTTCTTTGTTAGTTGGTTGCAGGCCAGAGTTCCTTGTCGGGTAATCGTTTTTGGCCATCTAACCTTCGGTATCGACAGGTGTTGATAAAAGTCTACAGCTGGTTAGAAATGCTTTTCGTAATGCACACAGTCTCTAAACCATATGGAAGTATTGACTGATTTAAGATTTGTGTTGAAAATCGGAATCTTTTTGCCTATGCTGAGTGCTATTCATCTCCACATTCGCGTCAGAGGAATGAACATCTGACTTAAGCACTTAACTTACAGACCAATGGACCAAGGGTTCGAGTACCTCTTCACCTACATCAGTCTAAGAAACTCGGTGGTATTATCGACGCTTAGACGATAATTGTGCCTTATAGATGGCCGATGCATGAGAAATCTGTTGCAGAGGACGAAGAATTATAACTTGCTGTATGATTTTTGTTATTGTTGAATATTCGTCATACTTGGTAGCTTTATCATTCAAATTTAATAGTTTTGTTCTCTTCTAGTCGGACACAATTCCCTTGTTACTTTTATAGCCTTTCTGTATGTTACCGTATGAAGCGGCATACGCTAATTTAGGCCATCCCTGGTGCTATAGCAATGTCAGTCCGGCTGTCATAGGTTAGGTCTACAGTGCTTCATTGCACACAGTGTTGCTTTACGCCTGTGAAGATTAGCTTCTCCGTGCTAAGAATGCACTTTCGATCATCACTATCTCTGTAATTATCAGGTCTGACAGCTTGTGTTTGGACACGGAGGAGGTCCGCATCTTTCAATGAGTGTGGTCATCTTGAAATATCGGCTTCGGTGGCTTGCGCATATAGTACGACTGTTATCCCAGAGAGGCCGTCATACCGTCCACTGTTCACAAGTCGTAATCTTGGATGGAGGAAGTGGAGAGGTAGTCATCCTATGGCATGGCGCTGTGGATTGAAGGATATTTGTGACTGGTTGTCGTCGGTTGGCGCATCACCATTCCCTTGGTTGTGGTGGGTCGAGACATTTTCACATATGGTCAGTAATCGCAGTCAGTAGTGAACATGCTGAAATTTCCTTCTTTTTTTCCTTTCTGAAAGCAACATGAAGTGATGAGTGTTGACTGATCTAGCCAAGTTAGTATTGGTTTTGTAGGGATTTTGTTTGATTGCATGGAGGATTTCATCATGAGCTGACATCAGTTAGAGATCCACTGGAACACCTGGGAGTACTGGACAGCTGTTTCGTCAGTCTAGTTTGGGACTCTCCATCAGTATGCACCCACCGGGGTTCGAACCCGGGACCTTCTGGTTACAAGGCGAGTTCGTAGACCATTGAGCCACTGGGACCACTAGCAACTGACCCTATTCAGGCAGTTAACCTGGGCTTCTAGTGGGAAGCCGTGACCAGTAGGGTACAGCAGGTCAAAGATGAAGCAGTAACTCATCGCAGAAGACATTGCGAAGTGGTCGCGCTATATGGTGAATTGGCAGAAGTTAGAATTCAAGGACCATTGGATCGGGTCCCAGTGGCTCAATGGTCTGCGAGCTCGCTAGCCTTGTAACCAGAAGATCCTGGGTTTTAACCCCTGTGGTTGGTGCGTACTGCTGAAGAGTCCCAAACTAGGGCGAAAGAGCTGTTCAGTACTCCCAGGCTTCCAGTGGTTCTCTAACTGATGCCAGGTCATGATGAAATCCTCCATGTGATTAAAAATACTCATTGAAATTTTCAAAGAATGTTTGCTGAACAAAGAATACTCTTTTTGATAACTTCATCATCGCGCTCTACAGTTATGCATACATTATAGTGAATGAATGAATTAATGTTTTTTAAATAACATTGAATCAATAATAATATCAATGGATTACAGTTCAGTGGCATCAACATAACAATAAACTGAATATCAGAAAAATTAGGAAAGATAATAATACAAATTCATGAATTTATAGTCTCTACTGAAGGCCGGCCAGGGCAGTAGTAGTGGCTAGTTGGACTTGCTTCTTCTGCACACAAAGCACTGGTTGTTTTAGGTGGATCGCGATAGCCTCTACTGTTTGAAGCATGTGGTGCCTCGTTGTTTTTGGCAGTTTGTTTGGTACCTGACGTCTGATAGATGATAGAGAAGAATTCTTCAATGCTGACTGGCTTTGTGGCCTGCCGGTTTGGACCAGATGGTGTAATATCGAACTGTTGATGGTTTCTACTACACCTTTACTTAGCCATCCTGGGAGATGTTCCCGGGTGAGCACGAAAAATCAAGTTCCTAGAGCAACAGCCAATAGAACTCGCTCCACACCGAAAGCGCAGTTGAATTGATAGATACAATTAGAAGTGGCTAACTAGTCTAGGTACTTCATCTTTCAGTCGAGGTAGCACCATCGGTCGTGTAGAGAGAGAATATGACGTGTCTGTGGCGCACTTTTTGGTGCCCATAATGTATGTACCAAGTTCGTGTTTGTACTGTAAAGAAGAAAAGACCGAGGAGGCTGAAAGGAATGTTTATTTAGTGAAACGTATTGTACATAGCTAAATTTGGAATACCATATTTTCAACCTGCCATTTGCACATCATTTACCACATCCTTGATGAATTGGTCGAATATCGTCACATTCAATAGCTTCTTGGATTCTGCATCATATGGCAACATTCTTCTCATGGTTCTCTTCTTTGATTGCTCTTTCCAGTATGCCAAACATATTGTTACTTTTCTGAATTCGTTTCTGATATACTACTTATATCGGATTATAAGTAGCACTCACCACAGTACTACTACTATTACTATTAATAATAATGAATCATAATACTTCTCCGCTTCAGGATATCTATTCAAATATGGTACAGTTGGACTCAGATTCGCCTTCTCTACCTCCACCGAAAGAGGCTGCAGAACAATTACAGATTGAAGCATTGGAACTAATCCTCGATTGGGAGTATGAATTACACCATGGCTATTATGATATCTCTCCATGGAATCATCCAGTGGATACATCCTCTTGCTTACAATGGATACCATCACAAAGAGGTAGAGGTCAGCTGAATGCCTTTCTGAATTATCTTAATTTGGATCCCCGATCAATTCATCATATGACAAGTTGTGAATATTTATCGACAAGAGAACGAATTGAAAAGATTAAAAAGAAGCGTGATCAAAAAGTTAGATTGTTTAATAGTGAAAAAGTCAAGTCACAACGTCTTCTAATAAAATGTTTAAAAGAAATTGAAGGTAAAGTTGATTCTGTTTTTCCTTTCTCTCTTTCTTTTGTGTTCCGGGTGGTTTTAATAGCTCTATGGTGATGTTTGGCTGTGAGGGGAATGCCGGGAAAATACATTGCACCGGTCGATCAAGGCACTCTACTCGAACTGATGTAGTCAGTCAGGTGAGAGCCTACAGAGAGTGGTCATCTCAAGTGGTGACAAACACTGGTGTCCGCCAGGGATGCCTACTGTCACCATTTCTATTTAGTTTCATCATAGGTGTACTAATGGAATTAACCCTAAGTGACTTCAGCGACTCAGGGATTGACTTGTTACAACCAGGGAATAACAGTCTCGTTGACTTAGAATATGCACGCGGATGATATGGTCCTACCTCCTGGGTGAAGACGCTGACAAAATAGGCCAGAGTCTTCTGAACGCCTTGAGTTGCAATCTGCGAATGTTTGGTATACGATTCGCTCCTGTCAAATGCAAGTAAGATTGTAACAACAGAAGACAAGGGCCAGGCAACAGATCCTTTATTAAGGAAAATCAACGCATATTTATAGATTTTAATGTAGATTATTGTTAGTAGAAAATACAGTTTTTTGATTGGTTGTTTCTCACAGAAAGTTAACCTTGCATCTTTTTGTGGCTGTGTCAGATCATCCATATGCTAACTGTAACCGCCTACGCAAAGCCTTTCTTCTCATTTTCTCACCACCAATATTGGGGACATAAACATTGACGGAAATTACTGTCTACCAACTTTGGCTAGCAGCCAGCTCTCACCACAAGATGATGCTACAGGACTGGACTACATTGACTCCTAGCTTAGAAATAGGCAGTGAAGTAGTTGGTAGAGCGCGTTGACCACTTCACTTATTTGGGAAGCTGCATCAAGCAACGTCAGTGGGTTGATTGCCGACGAAATCTCAGCACGGATATAGAAGGCTCATTTGGCATATGCCAACAACGTACGCCATCTCTGCATTAGTGGACGCGATATCCTGCTGTCTGTCAACAAAAGGGTATGTGCACTGGTCAGCAGTTCTCTCCGTTCTCCTTTATTTCTGTAAGTGAGACATGGCCTTTGAAAATGGAGAACATGAAAAGCCTGGCTGGCTAGCTGTCTTTGATCATAGGTGTCTGTATTCTGTCTCCCTTGCTAAGTGGTATGCTATAATAGGGTGAGTAATATTGCGGTTAGGCGTCGATCGAATGCTAGGAAGGTGGGAGGGGAAATCAGTCGACGAGGTTGTGAAATTACATTGATTCAAGTGGTTAGAACATGTGTTACGCACGCATGCATGGTCATTGCCTTCCTCAACATTGGGCGATGTTAGCTGACATGGGATGGATCAGGTTGAAAAGAGTTAGTGGTGGTGGTCAGACCAAAACATAGCTTTATTAGTCAATGAAATCCACAACATTTAGTTTAAGGCAACCAGTCACGTAGGGAGGTGTAGACTTGCTCATCATCAAGTGTGTCTTCAGTGCGTATTCGTTGGATTCTAATGAAGAGAGACACCTTACTAAGGCTCTTTTATACCGAACAGAGTAGAAACTGTGAAAATTAAGATACTGTCCTGTCAAAGTAGGTTTTCTATATAAAAAGATCGTTTTATTGATCCAACAATAAGCAATATGACATCTAGGAAAGAGAAACAATTATCTTCCTCTTCTACAGACATACATAAGTGATATGCTATTCTGAACTTCATTCATCGTTCGATTTGAAATTGAGGTGGCAGAACAAGGCTTATTCACTCATGTGATTACAAGGTGATTAGAGAATTAGATTATTTGAAAAGTAATTTCCACTTTGTACTTACTTTTATTTTTATTCCTTTACATTCCCAGTGGAACATAGGGAGAGCTTCAGGCTTTTAGCTTTAAAGTTTCAGTAGCAGTAGTGTTTATTTTTACGGGATGAAGCTGCTAGCCAGCTTCATGCCCAACCTTTTCCCTACTTGTTCGGGTTGTGTAACCGGCTAAGGGAGGTAAAGGCACTTGGGTATAACTCAACCCCTCCTCTTACAGTTCATAAACTCTTGCATCCTACCTATTCTTGTTTATTGTTCACCCGTATTCTTTCCTGGTTTGCTTAAAAAGGACTATGTCACAATTCGTAGAATGCTGAAAACTGTCAGTAGGGTGAGTGGTGTCCCAGTGGACTACATAGTTAACGTCGTTGTCGATAGGCACTTGACTTCGTGCAATAAATTTGCTAAAGGGATTTTGTCTGACTTGGAGCATCCACTTTACCCTCAGCTTTCACCTTGCATCTCCTCAGGTAGAACAAGAAGTAACTTCAGAAAACTGTATGCTCGCACGTCTAAGTATAAAAATTCTATGATACCATACTTGGCATGTATTTTGTGTGATGAAAATAGTGTCAGGCAAGAATTAACTAACCTTTTTTCATCTAGTAAATAAACAATCTCCTCCATCCATCCATCCTTATATACCTTCAAGTTTTACTTTTATTATTTCTATTATATTTATAGTCCTGTTGCTTCTTTGTTTTACTTTCATAATTACAAACACCAACTTATCTCTATGACTGCTGTAATCTTTGTTTTTTCCCCTCACCATATCATGTAAAGAGAACATTATATTCAATATTTTTAAACATGCTAGGATTTCTATACCGCATCGACAATACTGTGTGAAACAAGCCCATGGCAATTTTCACTTGTATTATTATTATTATTATTATTATTACCTTAGCTGTTATCATTATTATTATTATTTCCATTTTATATGCTGCATGTTTTTGACATTACCCCTATTGTAAATGTAGAAAATTTTCTGTGTGACTAATTTTTATTTATAATTTGAGGAAATTAGATGCAATATTGTGATTAATGCTGAAAATTCCATTCTGTATCACAAGTACTGTTTTTGGAATAAAGTAAATTATTATTATCATTACTAAAGGTGTGCGCCGGCCGAGACTCGAACCCCGGACCACGTGGATGGTCGGCCAGCGGTCTACCGCTGCACCACTGACGCACCTACTTACTTACTCTTACTTATTATTATTATTACTAATTTTGGCAACTCTAAACAATAGGAACCCAAACAGAAACGACCTACGAACGCACAAACGACCTTGTTAAGGACAACTTCGACCAATCAGAATGCTCAAAAATACGGCGCATAATTGTAAAAAAATCGTTTATATAAAAGTAAAGCAATGTTAAAAAATAGTTACAAAGGATAAAGTTCTTGTATATGTTGCAGAAAAAGCTCCCAGTTTCTCATAGGAGTCTTTATACTCATGTTAAACCAACTTCTGTACATAAGCTCATCCAGATAACTGTGCATCATTGGATTTCTTAATCCGTTCGCGAATCTAATCCTTTTTTTCAGGTGACTCCAGAAACTTTCGATGCAATTAGTATGAGTTCCATCCAAAGGATTGCGAAAACCGTCTGTGTGTGATTGACGACTACATGATGAATATACCCGAGATTCGACAATTGACCATAACTACTCCATTCGTCTGTGTGAATAGTGGTCCCGGGCAGCACTAAGCGCTGGATAATAGGCAATAATACACCAGCACTGCGATTAGGAATCGCAGTAGAGGTGTAGAGCATCCATAATTACTTCTAGAAACAACAGAGTCACCTGATTGGTTTCTCAAGGTCGTTTCGTTCGTAGGTCGTTTCTGTTTGGGTTCTTATTGTTTAGAGTTGCCCTAATTTTCTTATTTCAAATCTCATTTGATTTTCTTTTTGTCAATACAGATGACAAGGAGTTGATCGAAGAGAATCTGACAGCCTTATCAAATCTATTGGATATCTTAGTGCCGAATCCATCTAGCAGTACTAGTACTACTGATGAAATGAACCATCAGAAGAGTGAAACTGAAACAACAGAGTCAAATCAATTGACGACAGAATTCAACAACAAATCCAGCGAAGTGACCAGCGAAAAAGTCAATCCTATGGATGCTTTACGTCTCCACGGTTGCCTTCTTGGAAGTTCTAGTGGTTATGGTTTAGGTTCAACGCTTAATATTGAAATTCATATACCCTACAACTTTCAAACTGACTCAACTCATATTTCCTCTGGACTAAAAGTCCATGTGAAACGATCCAAAGAGATACGGGATGTTGAAGATTCAGCTAAACAATATGCTCATTTAGCTAAAGAAAAGTATAAGCCTAAATTAATCAATTGGTTACTAGTGAGTTGGCGATTTTTAGTCGTTTTTGTAGATATTTTGCACACCCTATTATTATTATTATTATTATTATTATTATTATTATTATAAGCCTACCAGCGAAACTTCGATCTCTTTCTCACGTTAGGTGGTATAATAAGGTAAGTAATGTTGACGTTAGGCGTAGTGTTGGGCAAAGAAGGAAAATCAATCGACGAGGCTATAAAGTTACATAGATTCAGATGGTTAGGTCACGTGCTGCGCATGCCTAACCATCGCCTCCCCCGATGGGCATTACTAGCTGATATAGGTGCAGGCTGGAAAAGAGTAAGTGGTGGCCAAACAAGAACATGGCATCAATCCATGAAATCCCTGACAGTTAAACTGAGTCAGGTAGGGAGATGCAGACTTCCGGGTTGGGGCTCGCCCTCGGGACTCTAAGAATCAATCAATGGCTGGAGACAATAGGTGACATGGATCAAAATCGTTGTCAATGGCTTACGCAGATGTATTCAGTCTCTGTAATCTTTCATATTCCTTTCTACCATTACTCACTCTGTTTCACTCTAATACTTGTCAAAACTCTACTGATTCCCTTCACTCATTTTCTTGTCTACCTTTGTGTGCTATTTGGAACGTGGCAACTCGAAATGCTGCACTGTTGAATCCAGACAGACAGACCAGCAAAACTTCACAGTGTTGCAGTCAATGTAGTAGTCAAGCAACACTGTGAAACTATATGAACACTTAAGATATTTTTCTGAGAGGGGGATATATTTCACCATCCAGTGTAAAAGTAACTAAAACTAGCCACTCTAAACAGAAAAATTTAATTTAATTTCACTTGTGAAATTTCGTCACGAATCAATATCAGACGGAGAGAGATCATTTGAAAACTGAGGAGTTACTGAAGAGCCAGCTGTCTTCTCGTCTCATCCCATATTTCGGAAGTCTTCATCAGTGCGCACCCAAGGCCCTACGAGAGATGATCAGAGCCAAGACCTTCTGGTTACGAGACCAAGCGCGTTGATCATTCTACCATTTGGGGCCGGATTCATTTGGTGCATACTGATGAAGAGTCCCCGAATAGGACGAAATAGCTGGCCGTCTAGTGCTTCCTGGTTTTTTCAGTAATCTTAAACGATTGTTAAAGAAGAGTTATGTAATAAAAAGAAATTACAATTATTGAGTTCAGGTGAAGTGGATGTTGATATAAGAGGATAGTAACAAAAGTGATGAGTTGTCATGATCGATTGTTAAATAAGAGTTGCGTGATGGCGTGAATAGTTTGATGAAAAAGTTGTGCTCAGGGTGTACATGGAACCTAAATATTATACAGAATTACACAAGGGTTTTAAGTAGTTAGAAAAATAAGCATGCAAACAAAAGTTAAGTCAAATCAAGCAAACAAACAAAAGTTAAGTCAAATAAACAGAGTTGTTACCATAAGAGTAGAAGTGGTTAAGTAATTTTCTTTTGTATGCACAGTTATGGTTCCTCCAACTGAATGACTAAGGCTTCTGCGATGCAAACAAGACGAAATCGTACTGTCTTTGGAGGGTTATTATACACTTTGTAGATTACTTTGAAGGAGGCGTTTGTTGAGATGGAATGACCAGTGTTGACGAGATGTTCGATTATTGCACTCATCATACAGCCATTGCTTCCTTTCTGCAGCACCACGCTGGATAGTGTTCTTTGACCCTTTTTGACAGGATGCGCGTCGAACGACCGATGTACCTGGTTCCACAGCAACAGGTGAACTGATATATACGCATAAAAGTGGTCAGGTGTGGGATCTTGTCCTTCGGGTTTCTGTAGATCAGCGGGCGACTGGAGAACACTACTCTCAATGTTGCCGCAAGGAAAGTTCTTAAAGAAGTGGAAATTCTCCTTCTAAGGACGTCACTGAGTAGGTCACCTTTGAAGTCGAGGTTCATATAAAGTATCTTTTTTGGCACGGATGGCGTCTCTTGCTTTTGGATTTTCTGTTTGATGTTTTTGTCTACAAATCTTGATGGTTAACCGTTTTGTGTGAAGATTTCTTTCAGGAAGTGTAGTTCTTCTTCCGGGGTATCAGAGCTGCAGATGCGTCGGACGCGAGTTGCAGGAGATCTAATTAGGTTTCTTTTCCGACTGATTGATACCCAGCTGTGGAAGCTTGTCAATTAGCCATTCCATGTGGGTTTCCTATGGATGGACCTTCTTAAAGTTCCGTCAGCTCTTATATCAACATCCAATTCACCTGAACATACTCCTTCTTTAACAATCGTTTGTGACAACTCATCACTTTTGTTACTATCCTCTTATATCAACATCCAGTTTTTCAGTAATCTCTCTAACTGATGTTTATCCGTGGTGAAATGTAAAGAATTCGAAATTACATTAATCCAAACCTCCAGAAATCTCATAGTCTAAAGAAAAATAAACACTCACTCTGTACTGGATTTGTTTAGAAATATTCCAGCATATGGAATTTACTAAACGTTCGTCAGTAATCTAGTATGTATAAGATAGAAATACAATAGAAGAGATTTAAAAATGCATTACGTTATAGGTATAGTGTAAGAAAGACTGATTCAAAACCAGCCTCTAGCAACATACGACAATATGAAGCCAAAGTTGCTCACTCTTGTAGTGCGGTTATTGTGTAATAAAAAGGCAATTATTAAAGAGAATAACCTAACAGATTATAGGTTTCTAGACCGTAGATGTTACAAATTCCCTGGAATAATTTCAGCACCGAGCCCAGATTGAATCATTATAAATTATTTAAAATAATTCCAGGGTGTTGCAGAAAAATCAAAATGGGATTTTTCTGAACGTTTCGCTGTGTAATTCACAGCTTCTTCTTCAGTAGAATTATTCGCATTTTCAATCCCCGAAAATACCCATTGGGTTATGAAGAAAATAATAGACAAATTCAGTCAAGAAAATTTTCTTTATCGAAGAAATGATATTCAGAGGCTCTGTACAGTCGTATTTATATTTATCAAAAATGTATAGTAGTCCATTATTGAGTAATAGTGGTGGGAGTGAAGTAGTTGATAAAATCAATCAGAAGTGGCTGAGATCCTGAAGAATCGCTTATGCAGACCAGTGAGGAAAGCCTTCTCTGTGACTGAGCTACGGATCAATTTCTACAGCCGACAAATGATTAGTAGATGTGTGATGGATAAACTGCCGCTTTGGGCCATTTTAGTGTGTGTCTATAAATTCACCTGCTCGTGTGGAGCTAGTTATATTAGCCGCCCGCACAAAGTGCACACTTTGCAAACGTATCTCTGAACATTATCCGGCATGGTTAGCTAAAGGGCAATGCAAGACAGTTACTAACTCAATTCTTGGTGAACTTGATGAACTCAAGCCACGTAGCTCCACCACGGTTGTCTTTTAAGATTATCTAAAAGGTGAGGCTGAATGGTACAAAGGGAGTCAGGTTTCGGCTTTTGTGTATGGTGAAGGCGTTGGCAATCGTCACTACAACCCCGAACTCTGTATACAGAAAAAGTTTGTCCAGTCTCTTATTGTACTATGGTCTTAACCTCTTCATTAGTAGTTCCCTGTAAATTTTTTATTTTTAATGATTAGTTAGCTTTTATTTTAATAATTAATTCACTATTATCACTCTCATATTTTATAATAAAGGTTTTTGTATTTCCCAATGAATGAAAAACAAAACGATATTGTTGTTTTTACTGACGTTTCGCTATTTAATGCTAATAGCTTTATCAAAGTATTATTAAACCGGAATTTACAAAATCCACTCAGCATATATATAACAAAGAGTTAAGGGGTGAGAAAATAAACTCAGGTCAGGTTAAAAGGACAAAATAACAATGAAGATCACTAAACCAAATATCAAAGGTAATAGTACATCTGTTATGGTATCAAAATAAAGTTTACTAACTTGATCATCGTTCGTTAGTCTGGGGTCATTTCTTGTTGTCAAGTTGGCCAATTGGTAAAGATAACAAAATCAAGTGTAGATTTATAAAGTTGTTGTATTTGATAAGTGTGTAAAACTATAAATCAGCGTGTGTTTACATAATGAAACTGCTTATCACATTCGTGTTGATTTTGTCACTTCATGTGGGAGGGGTGTGTTGTAACCAGGTCAGATTCTGTTTTAGTCCATCATTCCTGTTCAGACAATTTGGATTCCACTTGATCATATGAAGTGCTTCTGATGATATTAGACGTTCTTTGTGATTTCTGAAGTTTTTCTGGATTATTTCAATATTGTCAAAATCAATTTTGTGACCTGATTCTATAGCGTATCAACCTATGGCTGATGATTTTTCAAGCTTTTCTAGTTCAACTGAATTTTTCGGTGGTCAAAAAGATGCGGTTCTACGGTGTTCATTTCTTCTGATTTTGATTTCTCGAGATGTTTGTCCAATGTATATCGCATCACATTCCAAGCATTTTATTTTATAGACACAATTATTATAATGAATATCATATACCCAATACCCAAATTTTTTTAAACTGTTAAAGGTGAACTTGGTTTGGACATGTATCACTCTCATATGTTCCTTTTGTACATTTTCACACTCTCTTCACACTCAACTGCCTTTATTCTTACTCAATAGCAATTTTAACCTTGTCAAATTTTTAACTCTGTGTCGTTGAGTACCACGTAATTTACAACTTTTTTTCACTTCTGAAGCCACTTCTGAGTAATTATATCAATTATGTCACCTCCCCCTATTACTCAATAATCGACTACTAAGCATTTTTGGTAAATGTAAATACGACTGTACAACCTCTGAATATCATTTCTTCGGTAGAGAAAATTTTCTCTCCTGAATTGTGTTTCATTTTATTCGGATTTTATTAACCAACACCAAAATATTTACTCAAAAGATTACATAAATTGATGTCAGTTCCTTTGAAGGTAGGTCATTTGTCGGTAGACATTTCTCCCAGTAGAAAAATGTAAACATTCATCATCACATTATTGATATAAGTATAAAACTTGGGCACTGTGGTAGAGTATAAATCCATAATGGATAAGATTTTATTTTGATAAATCACACAGTGTTGTACAGTTATATTAACTGATGACGTTTCGAGCACAAACTATTGCCACTCATAATCATATCATAATCATCATCACATATTTGTAATGACTAATGTCAAATTGTCATATATGCGTATTTGTCTGTAAGAGTGTGTGTATGTTTGTTATATGGGAAACACGTCAAAACATTATTATTATTATTGCATCCTTTAATTCCTAGAGGAACATAGGGCTTCAGCTGTGCGTCTCCATTGCCTTCGGTTCTCTGCTAGAGTTTTCACCTGGCTCCATGTCTGCCCACACGTTTTCATCTCCTCTTCACACGACCTCCTCCAAGTCACCCTCACACTGACCACCAACTCGCCGCTTCCCTTTCGGGTTCCACTCGAGCAATGGCTTGTCTAGTGATGTCACTTGATGCTTTCCTCAGAGTATGACCAGGCAATCCATCTCAATTTCTTCCTGCCTATTTGTTTCACAATCGGTTCCTGCTGTGTTGGTTCGCTCATTGCCAGAGATCTCTGTTGCTGATCTTTTCTGGCCATCTGATCTTGAGTATTGAGCAAAGACAACTGTCAAAACATGATACTATTTCGTAATATAGGATCGAATTTGGTTTTCTCCCTCATCTGTGTTGCTTCATAAGAGTTTGCCATATAGGTGAGAAGTTTATCCCTTCTATCCTATTCACTGCATTCGATGTGGTTAAAATGTACAAGGCTTCAGAGGTCAACCTTTCCTTATTTGTGTTGAATGAAAGCCCCTTCTTAGAAATTCGACATTGTCGAAATCGATCTTATGTCTGCTGTCTACAACATCATGCATTGCTAACGCTGATCTTTTTTTCTAGACTTTTTAATTCTACTTTATTTCTAGGTGAACGTTTCGTGCATAGTCTATGTTCATTCACTCTGACCTTCACCTGTCTACTACTCTCCCCTATATAGCATGCATCACATTCTGAACACTTTATCCTGTAGACACAATTACTTTGTGACATTTTGGGAACCATATCATATATTTGACATTCACCCAAGCTTTCTCTAGAGAATTAGAGGGCTTGAAATAGACTTTAATATTGTATGAAGCAAATAGTCTTTGAACTTGTTCAGCTGTCTCCTTTCGATATATACACGAAACGTTCACCTAGAAAGGAAGTAGAATTAAAAAGTCTAGAAAAAAGATTAGCTATAGCAATGCATGCGACAGACAGTGGACATACGATCGATTTCGACAATATCGAAATTCTAGATAGAGGTTTTCATTCACCACATAAACAAAGGTTGACCTCTGAAGTCTTGCACATTTCAACCACATCGAATGCAGTAAGTAGGAGAGAACGGATAAACTTATCAATAATATGGCATACTCAAATGAAGCAAGATAGATGCGGGAGAAAAACAAATCGACCCTATATTATAACCATATCATGAAATATATGATTACGTTTTGACGTGACAACATACACACACTCAGACAAATACGCATAAATGACAATTTGACATTAGTCATTACAAATATGTGATGACTGCTTACATTTTTCTATTGGTACAAATGTCTACCGACAAGTGACCTTCAGAGGAACTGAATTCAATTGATGTAATCTTTTGAGTAAATGTTTTGATGTTGGTTAATAAAATCCGAATAATTCTGCTGCTGCCGAAGAAGAAGCTGTGGCCTACACAAGGAAACTAGTAGGTCGGGGGTAATCAGATTGTTGGAACATAAGAATTTAGCGAAGGTAAGAATGGTTGACCCCACCCGAGAAGATAAGTAATTTAGAAAAAAGCTCAGCAATCGCAATGCTTGCATTAACACACAACCACACAATATGGTGGGTGGGACAGAGTCAAAACTCGAAGAAGTAATATAGGTAAGTGGAGAGCGAGAGTGATTGATTACTGAATCTTGGTTCATTGAATAATCTACACCCAACACATACAACAGAAGTGACTCAACGCAAATACCAGAGATATGTATGGAAGATATTATTACCACCAGTCAAATCAGAGGAGGATAATAAATAATTTTAAAATGTGTTGAATTCAATTCACATTATAACATTGTAACAAGTTACTTATTTATTTTACTATAAAACAAAATCTTATTTCCCATCTGATTATATTTGATTTTATTCAAATGTCTAATCATCAATTTTACTCATGTTTACAAATGAAGCAAGAAGGTTGTGTGAGTAATGCCTTGATGTGATTATGAGCAGTAATAACTTGTGCTTGAAACGTGGTCATCAGTAAATATTACTCTGTAACAACACTGTGTGATTTATGAAAATGAAATCTTATCCATAATGGAGTTATGCTCTACCATAGTGCCCAAGTTTTATACTTATATCAGAAAAATCTTGTCATGATTTTTTATTATTATTGTTACTATTACTTTTTCTTTGCGTTCCTAGTGGAGCATAAAGCATCAACTATTCATAATTACTGGAAAAACTTGTCAGTTTGTATAATTACGGACTAAGGACACTATTTATTATTATTTTATTATTGTTTCCTTTAATTCCTAGAGGAACATAGGGCTTCAGCCGCACGTCTCCATTGCATTCGGTTCTCTACCAACGTTTTCACCTTGCTCCACGTCTGCCCACATGCTTTCATCTCCTCTTTGCATGACCTCCTCCTCCGTGTCACCCTCGCACTGACGACCACCTCGCTGCTTCTCGTTCGGGTTCCACTAGAGAGCCTAGCATGTCATGTCACTTGATGGTTGTTTCAGAGTATAGCCAGTTCACCTCCATTTCTTCCTGCGTATTTGTTGCACAATCGGTTCCCACGGAATTGGTTCGTTCATTGCCAGAGATCCCTGTTTCTGATCTTTTCTGGCCATCTGATCTTGAGTATTGAGCGAACACAGCTGTTGGTGAAGGTCTGTAGTTTGTTTGAAGTGCCCTTCTTGATGCGCCAAGTTTCTGATCCATAAAGTAACACTGACTTCACATTGGAGTTGAAAATCCGGATCTCATTTTTCATGCTGATCAGTGCAATTGATCTCCACACAGACTTGAGAGTAATGAAAGCTTGTTTTGCTTTCCCGATTCCCGTGCTTTGATATCCTCGTCAGTTCCGTTCGCCTGTAATTGAAACGATGCTTCCCAGATAGGTAGGTGGGTAGGTAAAGGAGGTTGCTTCTTTCAGAATTCCTCCACTTATGCTGATTGTTGTTGCTGTTGACCAGGAATCTTCATCACCTCTATCTTCTATATGTCCACCTGAAGTCCTATTTTTGGTGCTTCTTCTGCCAACTTGTTGCTTTTCACTTGCATATCTTGCATATTTTTTGGGAAATCAGACATATATCACATCGGCGAAATCTAGATCCTCCAGGTTCTTTTTGTATGGGTCCATTTTATGCCTGTCTCCTCGTTGCACGCCTCTGTCTGTCACATTATCCAGTTTACCGCAATCAAGAAAATCATTGGAGATAGTAGGCAGCCTTGTCTTACTCCTGTCTTCACTTCGAAGGGAACAATAAATATAATAATAAGTCGTGCAGATTATTATAAAGTTTTCAGTGTATTTTGAAAAGAAGTGAGATTTCGGTTTTCTTCACAGTTACAATTATTTGTTTTGCTTAGTACTCACTCACTGAGTAGTGATTGGCTACAGCATAAAGTTGCCTACAGTTCTAGTGAGAAGCCATGACCAGCGGTGTCTGCCAGTTAGGTGTGTGTGTGTGTGTGTGTGTGTGTGAGGACAAATACCCACTGATGACAACATTGACTGGCTATGGTACCACATACATCACGAATGGGTAGAAGTTAGAATCCGTCGGTTGACAATTTGATTCTGTCCCCATTGACTGAATGGTCAATGAGCTTGCTTTATAATCTGAAGGTCGTGGATGCGTACTACTGAAGAGTCTCAAATTAGGACGAAAAAAACCGTCCAGTACTCCCAGGTTTTAGATTATTCCCTAACTGGAGTCAAACTTGAGAACAGTTATTTGCTTTATCAAGTGTTAGTCTGCAGGGATTTGATTGGTTACAGGCGCTTGGTCGCCAGTTGACTTTAGTTAGAGAACCATTGGAAAACCAGCTGGGAGTACTGGATAGCTGTTTCGTCGTAGTTTGGGACTCCTCAGTAATAACGCACCCACTGGGGTTCGAAGTTGCAGTTTGTGGCTCGTTGGATTGGGTCCCAACGGCTGAGTGGTCTACGGACTCGTCTTGTTACCGGTGTGGTGTGTGTGCTACTGATAAGATTTATCAGTAGTATATGTATGAAGATAGCAGGGAGATAGATTTGATGACGGAGAAAGCAAATGATACAGCGTTGCTGAGATACATGGAACACGTAAAAAGAACACAAAGAAAAACAATACGAAGGAAGTCCAGAAGAGTAGCAAGCACAACACGGAAGATCTGTGTGCAAGGTGCGTTGAAGATAGATAAGGTCTACATAATTTCGCTATATATAGATACCAAATTCCAAATAAATATTTCTTTACCAATTTTCTCGTCTTCTACCGTTACACCGGTAGATCCTAGGTTCAAATCCCGGCGAGTGAGTGCGTACTGATGAAGAGTCCCAAACAAGGAAGAAACCTCTTCTCTCTAACTGATGCGTCATTTTTCGTAATCATCTATCATCTCATTAAAATGTTGTGTTTATTCAGATCTGTGTATATACATTTTTTTTGTTGTTGTTGTTTATTCTCAAATAGTCTATGGAAAGCGGCATTCAGTTGATCAGTTTGCCTAAAAATCTTTTGAAAAAACGCAGTGAAAAAATCGAACAGATTAAACAATGGATCAATCGTCTTGAAACATTGACTTCCCTCTTCTATGATCGAATTGAATTTATTAATGAAGCTGGTGATGAGGATGTTGATGAGGGAAACACTGATAAGAAACTGACTGGTAAGTGGGTGTATGAGTGTCTGATACTGTTCCGTTCTAATCTGTTGTATTGACCAAATTAAAACTGATGATATTCTTGGGTGTGAGTGACTGACTGTGAAAGGGAGGTTCAACATAGAACTTTGTACAGGAGTACAGAAGTTCAAGTTGCCACATTCTATGTAGGAGACAAAGGTGGAGAAATAGAGCCAAAAAAAGGTATTTAAAAGAGAACTATATAATGAACAGAAATGTGTTCGGGATAAATCACCATTTCTGTTTTTAATTTCATCATAGATGTACACTAATGGAATTAACGCTAACTGACTTCACAGTGACTTAGGGATTGACTTGTTACCACCAGGGAATAATAGTTTCGTTGACTTAGAATATGCAGATGATGGTATAGTGCTGTCTCCTAGGTGAAAACGCATGACAAAATAGTACAGAGTCTTTTGAACACCTTGGGCTGAGCAGCGATCTTTGAATGGTTGGCATGCGAGTCGCACCCGTCTGATGTAACATGATGCGTGCTGTGGGACTGGACTACATTGACTCCTAGCTTAAAGACAGAGAGGTGTGAAGTGGTTGGTGGAGCGTGTTGGCAACTGCTTCACTTATTTGGGTGGGAAGTTGCATCAGCCGACGCCAACGGGTTGATCACAGAAGGCTCTTTTGGCCTATGCCAACAATGTACGTTATCTTACGCCATCTCTGAATTAGTAGACGTGATATCTGGCTGACTGTTAACCAAAGGGCGTGTGTACTGCTCAGCAGTTCACTCCGTCATCCTTTATGGCTGCGAGTGAAACATGGCCACTGAAAGTGCAAGACATGAAAGGTTGGGTAGTTGTCTTTGATCAAAGGTGTCTGTGTTCTATCTCCGCGTTAGGTGGTGGTATAATAAGGTGAGCAATATTGATGTTAGACATCGATCGAGTGATAGGTAGGTGGGAGGGGAAATCAATTGACGACGTTGTGAAGTCACACCGACTACGAGAGATGGTTGGGACATGTGTTACGCCATCGATCGCCTTCATTGACAACGGTCAGTGTTAGCTGACATAGGATGGATCAGGTTGGAAAAGAATCAGCATGAGTGGTCAGACCAAAACATAGCTTCATTAGTCAATGAAATCCATAACAGTCAGTTTAAGCCTGCCGGCCACGAAAGGAGGTGTTGACTGTGTAGCTGGCTGCTTGGGGTCCTCGTGATTGTAAAAGCCAATGAAAGCTGAAGACAGTTATCGGTGATATGATTCAAAATCGTTCTCAATGACGTCGCAGATACATTCACTCTTTGTGATTCATAATATCCAATAAAATTCTATTGTTCTTTTATATTACTCTTCTTTTTCACTCACTCAGACTTCTCTTTTCATGAATGTCTCTTCACTTTGTTCTCTTGCCTTGTGTGTTATATGGAGAGAGTTAGACAACTCGAACTGAGGCACACATCTGTGCAAAGTTCTACGTTGAAACCAGTCAGTCAGTACGGGATATAGGAATAATAATAACACGAAAAAACATGAGGACTTAGTCGATCTAAGAGATTACAAAAAGTGAGTATATGGTAAGAGCTGGCTGCTAGCCAAAGTTGGTAGACAGTAATTGACGTCAATGTTTATGTCCCCAATATTGGTGGTGAGAAAATGAGAACAAAGTCTTTGCGTAGGCGGATACAGTTAGCATATGGATGATCTGACACAGCCACAAAGAGATGCAAGGTTAACTTTCTGTGAGAAACAACCAATCAAAAGACTATTTTCTACTAACAATAATCTACAATAATGTACATGAAAATCTATAAATGTGTGTTGATTTTGCCCAATAAACGATCAGTTGCCTGGCCCTTGTCTTCTGTTGTTACAAGTACATGGTGCCATTGAAAACGATTTTCAGTCATATCACTGTAACGACAGAAGGCAAGAGTCAGGCAACAGATCATTTATTAAGGAAATCAACGCATATTTATATATTTTCATGTACATTACTATGGATATTTAAACAAACAGACAAACAAACACAGTCTTCCGATTGGTTGTTTCTCACGTAAAGTTAATCTTTCATCTATTTGTGACTGTTTCTTGAATGTCAAATCCTCTATATGTTAACTGCATCCGCCTACGCAAAGTCTGCTGTGGTCGGTTTTGAATCAATCTTTGTTCACATTTTCTCACGACAAATCTTGGGAACGTAAACATTGACGTAAATTACTGTCTACCGATTTGGCTAGTAGACAGCTCTCACCACATTACCAGCAGTTTCGACCTATTGGTTCTAAGTATCCCTAGGTCGAAGTCCCCAACCAAGCAGTCTACACGTCAAACCCATTTGATGAGATTGACGGCATATTTGGGTTTGACCGCCCCAAATTCTTTTCCAATCCATCCCTAGGTCGGCTAACATTGCTTATCGAGGAAAGCGGTATCTCGGCATGCACAAATATTTTGGTATTCAGTATTTGAAATGTCTTTACCAAAGATGTTTTTCTCTCTCTTGAATTCATCTTCTTTATCATGACTTTTTGGGGGAAGGTTGGATTTGTTTTTGCACAACAGGTTGGGTAGTACCTCATTTTGGGTATGAGAATAAGTTGCGGTGCGTTGTCATCTGAGGACTCGTTGTTAAGCATCCATTCAATGTTCTTTCTTCTTCTCTGTTTTCCTTCCTCTTACATGACTTGCCCCATTCTGACGAAGACAATTTTGTTAGGTATGCCGGTGGTTACTTCTCAGTCAGACTGTTCCAAAATGAATAAATTTTTATCAGGAATTAGTCACTGATCCTCGTCAAAGGGTCTTAGGTTTAATTCCTCTAAATGTCAATCAGGTGGTGAATTTCACTTTCAGATGCAAGTGCGACTTACATGAACTGGTTTCTTCTCATGGTTCCACTGTCATGGATGCCACAGAAGTTGCAACAAAATCGAAGGTTAAATACCTTGGACTATGTATTTCCTCTGATCACCTTTCATGGTCTTTCTGCATCACATTAGTTTCTACAGAGCTATTTCGTCTAACGTTCTACATAAATAAGTTAAGATAATCTGGTATCACTCAGTCACTCTCTTCTTTTACAGTTTGTTGATACTTGTATTCTGCCTATTCTTCTTTATGGCTCCCTCACCTTAATCTTTCCTGGGCTACTTTAGAAAGACTACTTTGTTATACTGCGTAGGGCGAGTGTGGTGTTGTTAGACCAACTCGTTATTACCATTGTTGGTAGACACTTGGATTCCTTCAAGAAAGTAGTAAATATTATCCTGTCAGACTCTGAACATCCTCTGTATACACAACTCTCTCCTTGCATCTCATCAGCTAGGCAGAACTAGAAGCGAGTATGGAGGACTGTATGCTCGGACGACTAAGTACAAAAATTCTACAGTGTGTTATTTGGCAGGCACACATTTTATGTGATGAGAAAGGTGTGTAAGACAGGAAATTACCAACTTACTGAGGAACTCTAAGTAAACGGCATTGCCTTTTCTGTTCTCATTGTCACACTGTCGTTAATATCTTTACTTGATTTAACTTTATATCCATATTCTTATTGAAAAATATTATTAATCTAAATGCCACTTTTAAATCATTGTCCCTGTAATGAGAAAATTAGACGTGATACTGTACTACTACATGCTGAAAATTCCATATTCGTACCAAAAGTACGTACTGTTTGGAATAAAGCTTATTATTATTATTATTAATGTTTACCAGTATTGACATTCATCTTAAGTTTATATAATAGAATTAAAAAACAATAAAGCTGCAATCTGGTCGGACAAGATAATGATAAGACGTTAAATATATAATGCCTTTCATTGAATGTGATCACTAGGGAATAACCAGTCTATATATTCATCACAATCCTACGAGAAGTCAACCGTAAACTTGAATGACTGACTGGTTTTAACGTAGAAGTTTGCACAGATGTGTGCACCACTCCAAGTCGCCACACTCTCCCTCCATGTACCACACAAAGCAAGAGAAGAGAGTAAAGTGACATTCGTCAAAAGAGAGAGATAATAAACAGAAATATGAGGCAAAAAGAATAGTAATATGGAAGAACAATAGAGTTTTATTGAATATTATAAATCACAAAGAGTGAATACATCTGTGCCGTCAATGAGAACGATTTTGAGCCATATCACCGATAATTGTCTCCAGCCTTCATTTGTTTTTACCATCCCGAGGACCATAACCAGCCAGCCAGTCAGGAAGTCTACACCTCCCTACGTGGCTGGCTGAATCTCACTGTTATGAATTTCACTGGCTGATGAAGGCATTTCTTCGTTTGACCAACCACTAGCTCTTTTCCAACCTGATCGATTCTATGTCAGTTAATATTACCAGTTGTCGAAGAAGACGATCAATGGCTAGGGATACATGAGTAACACATGTCCTAACCATCTCTCTCTATTTATGTAATTTCACAACCTTATCGATTGATTTCTCCTCCTTAACTTACTTAGCAATCGACCAATGCCTAACCAGCACAATATTATTCACCTTATTATACTACCACCTAACACGGGAGATAGAACGCAGACATCTATGATCAAAGACAGCTAGCCAGCCAGTCTTTTCATGTCTTCCACTTTCATTGGCCATGTCTCACAGATGCTGCATAATACCTTTGTTAACGCAGACAGTTCCATCTGCTTTGTCTCCTTTCAGATTAGTAACAGCTTTTGTAACCTCAGTTAGGGACAGAGAACCTGTGTTTATATCCCATTCAGGGAGGTGTTGGATGCTGGATAAACTGAGCGTGGTTATAGGCCAATTGAATGGTTCCTCAAGGTGTTCTTTCCAAAGTTCCAGTCGTAAAATTGAATAGCTGATTTACAGCGTTCTTGACTGCAGTACTCATTGATGCATGTTCAAATCTCAGAGTGGAGATTAGTACGTTTAAGATTGTAGAATATGCCCTGTTAACAAATGTCAAAAGGCATGAAACCTAGGTCAGAGATAGCTTTGTATCGATTGCCTCTAACCACCTAATGTATACAGCTACCTTTATTTATATTTTTTATTAAATAACAATAATTTTCTATCATTTTCAGTTGATAAGAAAAAATCATAAAATAAGGAAGGGAATAAATTTCGCTGACATACTATCTTCTATTGTTTTTCTAATTTTGTCTTTTTTCGTTTGTTTGACATCCTTTTCTCTTTTGTTTCGTCAATTTTCTTTAATTTAGGACAGTTATACAATTTACGTCGACCGGATGATGCAGTCGCTTCCACTGATGATGAAGATAGTGACTTCGAAGATGTAGACAATACATTTCATCAGAGTGTTGAACCAGCCGTTTCTGTTGATTCATCATCATGTCAAGAATTCGATTCCATTAACTCCAGTAAACACGAGGTTTTGACACCGAATGAAACTGATAATTCTAAGTAAGTTAGTATATATTCAAGTGTTGGTTTTTAGGGATTTGATTGATTGATTGGTTTCAGGATTTCATCATGAACTGACATCGGTTAGAGGACCATTGGAAAACTTGCAGGGAGTACCGGACAGTCAGCTGTTTTGTCCTATTTCGTCCGCTGGATCAGGTCACAGTGGCTTAATGGTCTATGAGGTCGTTTTGTAATCAGAAGGTCCTCTCGTTGACTTAGAATATGCAGACTATTTAGTCCTTCTAGGCGAGGACGCTGACAAAATACGGAGTCTTCTGAACACCTTGAGCTGCAATCTACGAATATTTGGCATGCGATTCGCTCCCGCCAAATGTAAGATGATGTTACAGGATTGGACTACACCGACCCCTAGATTAGAAATAGGAAGTGAAGTGGTAGAGCACGTTGACCGCTACACCTATTTGGGAAGTACCATCAGCTCCAACGGGTTGATCTCTGACGAAATCTCAGCACGAATACAGAGGGCTAGTTTCGCATATGCCACGTGATATCCGGCTGGCTATCGACCAAAGGACGTGTGTACTGCTCATCAGTCCGCTCCGTCCTTCTTTATGGCTGTGAGACCTGGCCATTGAGAGCGGAAGACATGAAAAGATTAGCTGTCTTCGATCATGGGTGTCTGAGTTCTATCTCCCGCGTGAAGTGGTATAATAAGGTGAGCAATATCGAGGTTAGGCATCGAGTGCTAGGTAAGGAGGGGAAATCAGTCGACGAGACTGTGAAATTACATGGAATGAGATGGTTAGGACATGTGTTACGCATGCATGCCTAGTCATCGCCTTCCTCGACTGACAATGTTAGCTGATATAGGGTCAGGCTGGAAAAGAGCTAGCGGCGGTCAAACCAAAACATGGCACCAGTCAATGAAATCTATAACAATTAGTCTAAGCCACGTAGGAAGATGTAGACTTCTTGGCTGGTTGGGGTCCTCGAGACGGTAAAAGCCAATGGTTGGAAGCAATTGGTGACATGGCTCAAAATCGTTCTCAATGGCTGGTGCAGATGCATCCACTCTTTGTGACTTATGATTTCCAATGAAACTGTTTTGTTCTTCGTTATTACTATTCCTTTGTCTTACACATCTGTTTACTGTCTATATTATGCATTTCTTCTACTTTCTTCTCTTGCTTTGTGTGCTACATGGAGTGTGGCGACTTGAGCTGCCGCACATCGGTGCAGAGTTCTATGTCGAAAACAGACAGATAGATAGGTCCTCGGTTCAAACCTTGGTGGTGGATGCGTACTGATGCGGAGTCCCGAACTAGGACGAAATAGCTAACTGTCCAGTACCTCCCTGCTGGTTTTCCAGTGGTTCTCTAGCTGATGTCAGCTCATGTTGAAATCGTAAGTTAGCATAGTTTAGAAATCCAGTGTTGATGAGATCGATTTGAATTTTTGTTGCTTCAAGTTGTCCAGGATTATAGTTAAAAACAGTTTCAAAAATCCCATTTAATGTAGTAGGATGCTGGTTGGTATATTGGTCAACTCTAGACATCAGTTGAACTGTTCAATGTTCGAGGTGCATGTGTTGAGACGTCATCATTAAAACTGCATTCTTCTTCTTCTCAGAGATTGTTCCACTTTCCATAGTTGTTTTTCACAGTCTACTGCCTTAAAATATCTAATTTTTTTATTGTTATTTTGATTGGACACTAGTCAGTAACTAGTCTGATGTGTCTAGTTCTTTGTTTGGTGCAAACTGAATTCTATCAGTCAGGTTTGCAATGTGACCACCATGATAGCTAGTTAGCTGGCCATCACAGTGCACATTGATTTGATGATATTAGATGGTTGGATGTAATCAGCAAGGAAGTCTTGATTCTTGAAGTGAATCACGAGCCCGAACAGCTAACTTAGTGGTAACGTCTTTGACTATAGGCAGCACTGTGTGATACGGGTTCGAATCTCAGGAAAACATGAGTTCCTTCAAGGCACTTGCAGATAAGCCTTGCTGATGAGTGCCAACTAGAACGAAACCTAGGTTCAATGCTTCCTGCCGAATGCCTTCAACTATCTAATATCATCAAATCAATGTGCACAGTGATGGTGAGCTACCTAGAATGGTGGCCACATTGCAAACCTGACTGACAGAATTGAGTCTGCACCAAAGAAAGGACTAGACACACATTACACTAGTTACTGACTAGTGTACAATCAAAATACCCACTACAGTCCTACAGGAGGTCAATCGCGAGCGCGAATAGCTATGTGGTAACGTCTCTGACTACAGGCAGCACTGTGTGACACGGGTTCGAATCTCAGAAGGGACATGAGTTCCTTCAAGGCAGTTGCAGATACGCCTTGCTGACTGACTGACTGACAAGTGCCAACTATCACGGAACCTAGGCCAGGCAAGGCTTCCTGTGGCCGATTGCCTTCAACCATCTAATATTGTTGACTGTTATGTTAATAATAATAAATTTTTCAGGGACTTGTATTGATTTCACTGTAGATTTCGTCACGAAACAGTACTAGTAAGATAATCACTGAAGACTAGGGAGTACTTATTGAACAGAAGTGCCGTCCTAGTTTAGGATTGTGCAACAGTCCCCACCGGGGATTGAACCCCGGAGCATCAGGTTACTAGTTGAGTTCTTTGACCATCCAATGTCTTCTGTGTTCCAACTTCTATCAGTTCACAATGTTATGGCACGACGGCCAGTCAGTGTCACTGGCGAGTATTTGGCAATCATGGACCCAGCTGAAAAGGACAGCAGCGAATAGAACAAAATGGGGATGTCTTGTGTTGTTGAAGCCCTATGTTCCACACGGAACCCAAGGGGATAATAATAAATTGGAGTGAAGCTTGAAGAAGGTCTACTTGAAAGCAATATTTTTCGCTAGGACATACTTTACGCATGCATGTCTAGCCATCGGTCGCCTTCCTCGACAGTGCGAATGTCAGCTGATTGACATAGGCTGGATGAGGTCGGAAAAGAGTTAGTGGTTGGTGGTGGTGTTCAAACCAAAACTTTGCTTCATCAGTCAATGAAATGGATAACAGTTAGTTTAAGCCAACCAGGCAGCCAGCCACGTAGGTAGGTGTAGACTGACTGGCTGATTGGAGTCCTCGGGATGGAAAGAACCAATGACGGCTGGAGACAATCAGTGATATGGTTCAAAGTTGTCTTTAGTGGCTTATGGAAATGCACCCACTCGTTGTGATTTGTAATATCCAATAAAATTCTGTTGTTCTTCCATATTACTACGATTCTTTTTCCCTCGCTAACACTTCTGCTAATTATCTCTCTTTATTGTCTTCTCTTGCTTTGTGTGGTACACGGAGGGAGAGTGTGTGGCGACTCGGAGTGGTGCACACATCTGTGTAAAGTTCTATATGTTGTAAACAGTCAGTCAGTATTGTTCGCTTATTGTCCACTATTTTATTGTTCCGCTAATCACCAGAGTTTTTCTAATGGATAAATTTTTCCTTCCAATATTTGTAGACTTAAAAATACTACTGAACAACTTGTGGATAATCACCACCACCGCCACTCGACAACGATATCGACATATTCACAGGATGAATACATTTCAACGGATAATATAATCATTGACGACTATAGTACAGTAGTTATTCCACAGAGAACAATTGAATGTGAACATCGTTTTTGGAAACCCATCGTATCTGATGACAATGATAATCAGCATAAAGAGTATCTTGAATCAGCGATTTCATGGAATTCGACAAGTGATATCCCCCAGTGTGATACTTCACTTCCGTGTAACGATGACTCGTTGAAGGTGGAGATCAGTAGTAATAGTAGTCCTGTTGAGGATAAGAAACCAGGTATTATTATTTATTTATTGATTTGTAGCATCATCACTTTTGATTATTAGTTCATGATGATGTAACTATCTTTATGTGTGTGTGCGTGTGTGTCTGTTATTATGTTGTAACAACAGAACACAAGGACCAGGCAACAGATCGTTTATTTAGGAAATCAACAGATATTTATATATTTTTATGTACATTATTATAGGTTATTGTTAGCAGAGAAACAGCGTCTTCTGATTGTTTGTTTTCTCGCTGAAAGTAAATCTGTCATCTCTTTAAGGCCATTTCTTTGAAGGTCAGACCATATTATCTGCGAATCGTATCCGCCTACGCAAAGTCTGCTGTGATTGGTTGTTGAGTCAGTCTTTATTCTTGTTTGTTTTTTCTCATGACCAATATTGGCGACGTAAACATTGACGTAAATTTACTGTCTACCAATTATGGCTAGCAGCCAGCTCTCACCACAATGTTATTTATTTTTGTTTAAACAAAAATGTGGCGCCAAGAAACGCGCCACATAAAAAACAAAAACAATGAAATACATGTTGAAAAGAAGCTGTAAATGATGATTGAGTTACAGGATCATGGAAACATTTAAGAAACGTTCATCTCTCTTTCTTATGTTACTTTCAAAAAGTTGAGATGCGAGAAGGAACTTGCAGCAGCATGTTTGCTTTTGACTACATTTCGTTGTCGTATATCTGATAACAACAAAACGAATAGTTCAACAAAGAGTCTACTTTCGGCAAATTCATTTTCATGCATTTATTCCCCTTAATGAATTCGAATAAGGTAAGAACAGCAGCGGTTTTTGCAGAATAAAATGGTAGTACGATTGTAGTGACAGAAGACAAGGGCTAAGCAACAGATCGTTAATTGAGAAAATCAAGAGGTATTTATAGATTTTTATGTGCACTATTACTGGCTCTATTGTTACTGAGAAGCAGCAGCCTCTTCTGATTCGTTGTTTTCCCACTGAAGGTTATTCTGCTACCTCTTTGTGGCCGTTTCTCAATAAATCAAGCCATATATCTGTGAATCATATTTCCACAAGGTTAACTCCTCAGTGATTGGTTGGTGATTTTCTCAAGGTTAAGCTTGGTTATTTAATGTGGCGATTTGATCAATACATGACTTGTTTCTCCTGAATCCAGCCTGTTCCGGTCGAAGTTTTTCATCCAGGGCTTGTTTGATTCTCTCCAGGATGATGCGGCTTAGTATTTTGCTTGGGATGGACAGGAGCATAATTCTGCGCCAGTTTTTGCATTGACTTAGGTCTCCTTTCTTTGGTAGGTTGAATAAGTATCCCTTCTTCCAATCCTCGGGTACTTTGCCTTCTTTCCACACCTTCTCCAGTAGTGGTGTCATCACGTGTATTGATTGGTTTTGTTTAAAAATGAACTCTGTGCAAGTATGTTAAAATTGTTTCTGTAGATATACTTTAATGATGACTTTAGCCTGTTGGTAGCTGATGAGAAGCCAACGAAATAAAAGAAATGATGGTACCACTTTATTTTGCAAACACCGCTGTTGTTCTTGCTTTATTCAAATTTATTTTCTTCTTTAGCTATACAATCGCATTACTATGCAGTGGCTTTTTCATGAAAGGCGCTAACAAAAGTGATGAGTTGTCACAATCATATTTGTTAATAATAATCAATATATGAAATGAGTTTAATAAAGGTATTAGAGATGAATAATTCACTGAATGAGTTGTAATCAAGATACACATATAAATAAGTGTGAAGTGTGAAATTATGTGTAAGAGTTTTAAAGAAATAACCTCGCCTAGATTACTAGCTCACTAGTTTTCTAACCAGTCGCGAGCCTGGATAAAAAGGGAGAGTTGGGGCGTGGTGCTAGCAACTCCACCCCCAAAGTTTAACCGCATTGCTTCAGAAACTTCAACGCATAAAATATATTAAAAATACTAAACAAGAACCAATCACCCAACAAATATGCAGGAGAAAGTGGAGATGGATTGGAAACTCGCTGAGGAGGCCGCTGGGCGACATCGCGCGCCCTTGATTGGAACCCGAAAGGGAAGCGGCGAGTGTGACGTCCAAGGGTGACATGGAGGAGATCGTGTGAAGAGGAGTTGAAACAGTATGGAATAATATGGATGCAGGTGAAAAGTACAGCAGAAGACAAAAGCAATTGGAGACGTTCAGTTGAAGCCCTATGTTCCACTAGGAACACAAGGGAACAATAAATATAAATAAATAAAAGTGTACTCATACATATTTTCAGTTGGCTTTCAAAATATCGATGAGCATTGCTCAGAGATGAAGGAAAAGTATCATTAAGGGATTAATTAGTCTGTGCTTCAGATCTTGAAGCATTGCGTTATGTGACATACTATAGACTGATATTTTACTTAACTTGTCGCTTATACCCTGGTACATGAGAAATCTGTCCAGGGGAACTGAGTTCCTACTCCTTTGTTTTTCTCATTATTATCTTTTATATTTGTCACTCACACCGGAGGAGTGAGTATGTGAACTTGTTTTCTATACACGATTTCACGCAGCCAAATGAAAATTTGAACTGCGTGAGACAGCCACAACCCCCCTTCGCCTCCGCCTCCAGCCACTTTTCAATTTCAATTGTGAATTAATTTCAATTTTAGATGTTGTATCCAATCATTTAGTCTGCTGGGCTCCATTATTATCAGGATCACTGTGTCAGCGACGTGATCGTAACGGTAGATGTCCTGCGCATGGTAAAATTGTTAAACGTGACAGATTGACTGGACGACCAATAAGCATAGAAGACAGGAAGCTACTTCAAGAAGAGATGGCATCTATAAGAATGGCAAGACAAAAAGGTGAGTATTTTATAATCGATTCTTTTAAAAAAAAAATCATTATATTCACTGGATTAGTTATGCACACCACTCACTCGCTTAAGCAATCGATACCCGACTCTCGTTCAAATGACATATGTGTACTGCGTAGAAGTTCGCTCTGCTCTTCTTTATGACTGTAAGACGACATAGCCATTGAAAATGGGAAGGTATGTGAAAAGGCTAGTTTTCAAGTATTGGTTTTGTAGGGATTTTTGTTTGATTGCATGGAGGATTTCATCATGAGCTGACATCAGTTAGAGAGACAATGGAAAACCAGCTGGGAGTACTGGACAGCTGTTTCGTCCTAGTTTGGGACTTTTCATCAGCACGCACCCACCGGGGTTTGAACTCAGGAACTTCTGGTTACAAGGCGAGCTCGTAGACCATTTAGCCACTGGGACCCGATCCAATGCCAGCCTATGAATTCTAACTTCTGCCATTTCACGACCTAGCACGACCATTTCGCAATGTCATCTTACTGCCTCATCTTCAGCCTGATGTATCCTACTGGTCACGACTTCCCACTAGAACTTCAGGTTAACTGCCTGAATAGGGCCAGTTGCTAGTGAACATCAGATCGATTTTCAAGTATTGGTTTTGTAGGGATTTTTGTTTGATTGCATGGAGGATTTCATCATCCTGGGTTCGAACCCTGGTGGGTGCGTACTGTGAAGAGTCCCAAACTAGGACGAAACAGCTGTCCAATACTCCCAGGTTTTTCAGTGGTTCTCTAACTGATGTCAGCTCATGATGAAAAGGCTAGTGGTTTTTGAACACAGATGTTTGCCGTTTATCTCTTATGTTAGATGGCATAATATGGTGAGTAATATTCAGGTTAAACGATGTAGAGTGTTAGGTAATCGGGGAAAGTCAATCGATGAACTTGTGAAACTATATCGATTGAGATGACTAAAAATGCAATGTTTTTGATAGTTGGTTTGTGCTGGCCCTAGTTATTGAGGTGTAGACTGTTTAGTTGAGATCCTTGGGATTATGGAATATACACAAACTGGATCATACGAATTATTAAAAAGACAGTTGCAGCGGAAAAAAGCTTTTCTTTTTGACGAAGTCATCAACAACTAGACTGTTTATGATGGTCATGGCATGGACAAGGGTTGGACGTATTTCTTTTGGATACAAAGCGTGGGTTTGAGCTTTTGCATAGCTGGTGCCTCGGCTATGCCCAGATGTCTTAATTTCACTCCCTTTCAGTCTCAAATCAAAGAAGACTTCCGAACAAGTCCAATCCGTCCCGAAGAAGATACTTCTGCTTAATCTAGAATTCAAAGGTGACATTGAAGCAGAAATCCTTCGTAAATGCCTCTCCAAATCTCTGAGAAAAACATACTTTGCCGCGAACTTACGACTGATGTTTTCCTGCAAGAAAAGGTTCAGCCAGAACGCGAAAGACAAGCTGTCGCATTGGGCCACTTCAGCGTGCATATACCAGTTTACTTGCTCGGCCGTACCAGTTGGCGACTTGGAAAACGCGCTCGTGAACACTATCCAACCTGGCTAGTAAAAGGAGATCGAAAACATGTATACAGTTCAGTGACAGAACACCTAGTCAATTCAGCACATTCAGCGCCATTCGAAAAATCCTTCAACACAATATACAAAATTCGATCAAACCTATCAAAGAGAGTGAAATTAAGACATCTGGGCATAGCCGAGGCACTAGCTATGCAAAAGCTCAAACCCACACTATGTATCCAAAAGAAATACGTCCAACCCTTGTCCCTGCCATGACCATCATAAACAGTCTAGTGTTGATGACTTCGTCGAAAAGAAAAGCTTTTCTTCGCTGCATCCATCTTTTTAATAATCCTTGGGATTCTAAGGAACAACTAGTGATGATATGGCTAAAAATCCTTATCAGTTATAAAGATGTACTACTCACACTTTGCGGTCTATCGTTATAGGTCTTTTGGATATCTTTTTCACACTTTTCTTTATCTGTGTATGGTATATGGAAGTGTGATGACTTTCACTGTAGGTAGTGAGAGTTGAAATGTTAGTCGGATTTGTGGCTCTCTAATTTCCAACTCCAATGTGAAGTCAGTGCTACTCTACACGGATCAGAGACTTGGCACCACGCCGCGTCACGAAGAACACTTCGAACAAACTACACACTCTCATCAACTGCTGTCTTCACTCAATACAACTCAAGATCAGATGGCCGGCCAGTAAAGATCAGCAACAGGGATCTCTGTGATCGAAGTAACCAACCAGGAACGAATTGTGTAACAAATATGCAGGAAGAAATGGAGGTGGATTGACCATACTGTGAGAAAAGAAACCATCAAGTGACATCACAAGACAGGCCATCCGTTGCTCGAGTGGAACCCGAATGGGAAGCAGCGAGTTGGTCTTCAGTGCGAGGGCGACATGGAGGAGGTCATTCGAAGAGGAGATGAAAGCATGTGGCAGACGTGGAGCCAGGTGAAAACGGCGGAGAATCGAACGTAATGGAGACGTGCGGCTGAAGTCCTATGTTCCTCTACGAACTAAAGCAGACAGCAACAAGATCAGATAGCCGGCTAGAAAGAATCGCCAACAAGGGAATCTGGGAGCAAACCAACCAAGAACCTGTCGGTCAACAAATATGCCGAATAAAATGGGGGGGGGTGGATCAGACACACTTACTGAGGAGACTGTAGAATGACATCGTGCACCACCTACCCCTATCACTCCACTGATACCCAACTAACTCAATACTATTCACCTTATTATACCACCACCTAACACGGGATGTAGGTAGAACGCATACACCTATGATCAAAGACACCTAGCCAAAGTCTTTATGTCTTCCATTTTCATGTCTCACTCACAACTATGAAGGAGGACAGAGCGAACTGCTGAGCAGTATATACCTCTTGTCAAGGAACTTAACCCTAAGTTCCTATTATGTGCGAAGACTGTCCGAACCGATAATTACTATGTACTTTTCTCGACTTTAACTCCAAAACACCAGTACTTTAAGAAAGTTGTATTGTTTGGCAATTAAAGTACAAGTCTATAAACAACTAAAAGTCAATCTGAACGAAGAATATTCTTTTCAATGATTTCTCTTCAGGTTCTTACAATTATAAAATATAATATTTGTTATCGTTACAATAAAGGCCAGTTATGCGGCAGATACATTTTAACGTAGAATAACAGATTAGTTAGGGGGTGTCAAAATAAATAGTCGTATTTGTGTGACAAACGTGCTAGACTGAATTCGATTACAAAATATTTTAAAACGGGAGACAATGGTGGTTAATCTCCCGTTTTACAATATTTTGTAATCGAATTCAGTCTAGCACGTTTGTCACACAAATACGAGTATTTATTTTGACACCCTACGATGACTAATCTGTTATTCCACGTTAAAAATGTATCTGCCGCATAACTGGCCTTTATTGTAACGACAACAAATATTATATTTTATAATTGTAAAAACCCGAAGAGGAGAAATTATTGAAAAGAATATTTTTCGTTCAGATTGACTTTTAATTCATAATATGGGAATTTTCCACACTATCAAATCCTATAAACAACTGTTTTACATTAAAAATAATGTACTTTTATTCGTATTCGTTCGTCTTCTTACAACTTGTACACGATTGAACCATTCGCGCCTTCGAGTTGCCCGCCAACGGCTACCAAGGTCAATAAACCATCATTCAATGTTCGCGTTCATTGACAACCAGACAGCTGGATATCACGTCTACTAAGCCAGAGATGGCATAAGTTGGTATATGCCCTAACTGATACTAATCCGTGACCAAAGTTCAAATCAACTGAATCCATCCTCTTTAAGAACCAACACTTACAATATTATTTTCGTACCTTGTTGTAGATTTTTACATTGGCCAATACAGTCATCATCTCTTGTGTCCTAGAGTGACTAACCACGAAATTGGCGATATATATATTCAAATATTGTACACTATAGAAATCTTAAATAAAATTTTGAATAGATGGTTGAAATGGCTATCCCGCGAATAATTTTTCACTGTAATGAAATGTGTTTAACACAAGTGAGCATTTTGTTCTACGCATACGCTTCCTCTAATCTATGCAAAATCTGTTGTGTTTTTTTTAATTTATATATTTATCCAGAATTAGATGAGAAAAAGAAGAAAGATTCGAGGAAACACTATCCAGGTTTGATTAACGTATCAAAGAAGGTGACCAGTTCTCGTGAACGTTTAAAAGCTCGTGTAATGAAAAAGTAAGTGTTATAAATTTTGTTTATTGATTAATTTATCTGATTGCCGTGTTTTTCGTGATGAAGTTGTTATTTAATTGAATTTTATTTAGATTTTCCCGTCGATTGATTTCGGACCGAAGTGCTCGGTCTCAGGTTGACATGTCGGCTCTTTGTGCGTGCAGATGCCTCGACGATGTCTGAACATGTAATTCGAATTTAATTGGTGGATGGATTCCACTAGTAGGTATTCCTGAGCGAGCACGAAAAATCAATTTCCTAGAGCAACGGCAAATATAACTCGTTCCACAACAATAAGCGCAGTTGAACTGGTAGATACAATAAGAGGTGGTGGCTAGTCTGTTGTTTCATATTGTGTAATTCTACATCTAGTCTATCCTAGTTTCCAGGCGAAATATGAACTCCACTCCTTTGTCTAATTACTAATATAAATAGTTACTCTCTTTTAACACACTAAATAATTGTCTACTTACATCATCTTTGAAATTATGCCGCTTATGCTTGAGGTCATTGTGGAAAAAAAGTATATTCAGACCCCATTTTGTAACTTATAATTGAGTTATTGAGGATGTACAACGCAGTTGAAGAGAGAGAATTCACGAAATGTAACGAACTCGTATTATCCTGTAGATCTAGTCCGTCTGTCTTTATTCAAATTCTTCAATACAACGGTTATTCCTTTCGAATTGGTTGCTTCAGTGATATTTAGATGACAGGTCTTATACGTTTAACAGCTAGAATACTGAAACCGTTTGAAATAGATATAGCACACAAGACAGCCAGCCAGCATCTTCACTTCATTCGATATTATGCAAACCGAAAAATCCATCCAACAGAAAAAGGAGATAAAATTAATACGATTTACAAAATACATTGTATGAACTGTAACAAGCATTACATCGGTCAACAAAGTGGGCGTCCCCTTCGAATTAAAATCCAAGAACACAAATCAGCCGTGAAAAGACACGATATGTATTCTTTAATATGAATGCATATAGACAATTATGGTCATCAATTTGATTGGGATAATGTCGAAATCTTAGACAGAGGAAACACCAAAAGTGCAGTCAGGGAATTCCTAGAAGCCTGGTACTCAGACGAATATGCAATTAACAAACACCTTAATACAGACGAAATATACCAACTAATAAAAAACAAATCAGGTGACCAGAAAGTTTAAAATCCAAATCACTAGAAAATTGTCAATACATATGTAAAGATAGTTACCAGGAGACGCAATTATATCACTCATGAAGGAATTTAAATCATTTCACTTTATGCTAAAAATTGTGCTGAAGATGTTGTGTAGAAGGGGGACGACGAAAGCTCCGCAACTAAACCAACCAGCTCAGAGAACAGTGTTAATTGCAAATCATCCACCTGAGCTACAAATCTCCTCTATTATTTCAAGGTCTTATAGGTTGTCGGTCAGGTGTTCTTTACATTTTCCCTGTAATGCTAAATTCTTGTTACACATGGTATTAGTGATGATGATAACAGATGTATAAGAAAAGATTGATGCAAAAAAAAGTTCTTTTTTAATGATATACTCTGATCTCGTCTTTTATATTTACAGATTTCAGAAGCATTGAATGAGTATGGCGCATATGATATGGTGATATGAACACCTCGAGGGGAAATGACAATTTCTTAAAAGCTCTGTGATCATCAGCATACTCTTGAAAAAGTGAAGCCTGTGTTTTGGATGTTACTCTGCGCGTATGTATGTTTGTATATATACACATGAACTTTTTAATCCTTAATTATTCAAATATTCTCAGGGTGTATTGTATTTCATATACAACATAATAATGTACATATATTTTATTTAATATTGAATACATTATCTTTGTGAGCTGATTACTATTGTTATTATTTTTTATCCTTGGGTTCCGAGTGCAACATAGGGCTACAGCAACACTTCTCCATTTTGTTGTATTTCATGCTGTCCTCTTCAGCTGGGTCCACGATTGCCTGTAATCTTTCATCTCCACCGACCCACATGTAACCGTTACACTGACGATAGACTCGTCGCTTCCCTTTGGGTATAAGGTAAGTAATGTTGACGTTAGGTGTAGAGTGTTGGGCAAAGAGGGAAAATCAATCGAAGAGGCTATAAAGTTACATAGATTGAGATGGTTAGGTCACGTGCTGCGAATGCCTAACCATCGCCTCCCCCCCCCCCCGAAGGGCATTACTAACTGATATAAGTGCAGGTTGGAAAAGAGTAAGTGGTAGCCAAACAAAAACATGGCCTCATCAATCCATGAAATCCTTAACAGATAGTTAAACTGAGTCAGGTAGGGAGATGCAGACTTGTGGGTTGGGGCCCTCGGGACTCTAAGAATCAATCAATGGCTGGAGACACAAGGTGACATGGCTCAAAATCGTTGTCAATGGCTTACGCAGATGTATTCAGTCTCTGTAATCTTTCATATTCCTTTCTACCAATACTCATTCTGTTTCACTCTTATACTTGTCAAAACTCTATTGATTGATTCTCTTCACTCATTTTCTTGTCTACCTTTGAGTGCTATTTGGAACGTGGTAACTCGAACTTCTGCACTTCGGTGCCAAGTTGAATCCAGACAGATTGGGATTCCACTCGAGCACTGGCCTGCATTGAGAGCGCGATGTCATTCGACGGCCTCCTCAACCGGCGTATGCCCGATCAATCCATCTGCATTTTCTCCTACATATCCACTTGTTGAGCAATCGACTCTTGCTTGTTGGTTTGTTCTCAGCCAGTTAGAGTTTCTTGTTACTAATTCTTTCTGGCCGGTTGGTGACTTGATCTTCAGTAGCCTGTTGGAAATCCTTTTCCTGACGCACAGTACTAGTTTCTCACTCGTATCGACGCAGTAATTGACTTCACATTTGTGTTGAATAGAATCCGAATCTTGTTCTTTATGCTGAGTGAGTGAAGCAGAATATTTCCAAACGCGTTTCGGTTTTATGAAGGCGTATCTTGTCTTTCCGATTCTGTTTGAATTTGACATCTTCATCTGTGCTGTTGCCTGTCGTTGAAACTGCGGTTGCTGGTCACCTCAGTCAAATTTCTCCCGTTGACGGTGATTGTTGTTGTCGTCGGCTGAGTTGTTGGTTGGTTGATTCTCTTCATCACCTCCGCCTTCTCTATGTTCACTTTGGAGTCATGTCTTCGCTACCTGCTTCATCAACCAGTTTTTTGGTTTTCACCTGCTACAAGTCTCCGAGTTTAGTCGACATTAAACATAAATATGCATACATACTACTTACGACATCTTGTCAGTAGCACACGCCATTTTGTATGAAAATACACTCACACTGCCCATCCCCAAATACAATAAAAAGCCAATGAGGATAATTATTACAAAGATACAATTATCATATATATGTGTGTATATGTATATTTAAGGAAATTATGTAATCAAATCATAAAATGAGAGCATACGATTGTCTTAAAGTACAGAATTGTAGGCTGAAAAAATTGATTAGGGTCAGCGGTCAGTATATTTATATTAATGATGCTTTGTAATAAATTAGTGAAAGACGACGAGGCATACGACGCATAGCAGAGTAGGTGTAGGTAGGTAGGTGTACACAGTACAGACAGAGGAGTATAGCAAATCATTAAATAGTCCATCCGACTTCTACAGTACATGTATATATGCATATGGAACGCGTAGTATGTAGAACACTTTCATGAGGTATGCAGCAGAATCTAAAACTGGAAAAAAAGAATAGAGAAAAATTATAAAACACAAAATAATCGAGCAAAGAATATCCTTTTCGATAAATTCCTCTTCGAGTCTCTACAATTATATATATATGTTTATATACACAGAATATTTTAAATTAGTAGTTAATAACAATATTAGCGTTTTTTTTAAATAATATGGATTTGTTAAGTAAGATCGCAATGGAATTACAGTTCATTAAAGATGTTTAAAATTATAATGATAATAAAATATAATAGCAAATAGAATATCAACTGAAATTACAAAAATTACGGATTATTCAAACGTGGATGGCCAAGGTAGTGATAATGTCCGAACTAACTTCTTTTGGATGCATAAATTAGGCTTGTTAATATGGATCCCCACAGCTTCAGCAATATTTAGTAGTCGAACTCTTGAGGCAAAATTGAGATTCGTAGATATGTGGTAAATGACCCTGAAAGCATGATTAACGTCAATCTTGTGTTCCGTCTCCACAAGATGAGACAGAATAGCGCTGCGAATAGATTTTGTTTGTCCTTTACTTAACCACCACTAAGCAGGGTGATGTTCGGAAATTCGACGAGAAAAACGCCGAATTGTACGGCCCATGTAACTGGCTCTACAGGAGCAGTTAAATTGGTATATATGCATGGAAGAGGCGAAATTATTCCCGGACGCAGAAGAAGAGTGGTTTTAAAGATATAGCGTAATTCAGCAGCAGGGAATGCTCTTTTTACCGCATTTCTAAGGTGCGGTGTTAGTATCTCACTGGTGTTGTCTCCTAGAAACTGCACTTGTAGGAATAAGGCCTTTTTTGCAACTGTTGGTAACTTGGGCTGCTTTGGTTTCAAATTCATATTCTGATCAATAAACTTTTCCGGATAATCATTTTCACTTAGCAACCGTTTAATATTGTTAAGTTCCTCGTCAAGACATTCGTCCCAGCAAATATCTCTTGCTCTGTGGACCAAGCACTTTATCAGATTGTGTTTGTATTTCAAGGGCACAAAGCTGAGAAAATGTGTGTACTGGCCCGTTGATGTAGGTTTTCTATGAACACTTCTTCTAATTGTGCCGTCCTCTTTTCTGATCATAAGGACGTCTAAAAATGAAATACTAGAGTCTTCTTCTTTCTCAATGTTAAATTTATTGCAGGATGTACCTCATTAAATTTATCCAGGATGTTCTTTGCTTTTTCGTTCTTCATAATCAAAAAAGTATCATCCATGTACCGACAATAAAATTCGAGTTCATTAATAACATCTTTCAAAGGCCCATTTTCTAGTTTCGCCAGGAAAATGTCGGTTAGAATGGGTCCTAGTGGTGACCCCATTGCCACAACGTCGACTTGTCTATACAGTTCCTTATTAAATAAAAAGTGGATATTCATTGTACATTTCAAGAGAAGCTCTTTCACTGTGCGTCGGTGGCACAGTGGTTAGGACTCTCGCCGACCATGCACATGGTCCGGGGTTCGAGCCCCTGCCGGCGCACACTCGATATCTATGGTATGCCTGAATTTGGGCAACCGATATCCATGCTGAAAATTCCACACTTGTACTGAAAATACGGTGTGGAATCAAGCTGTAAATCAAAAAAAAAAATATATATATAGGGATGCCAACATCGATGTTTCGTCTTTTGAGTTCTTCGCATATAAAGTCCACTCTTTCCATGAGAGGTACATTGGTGAATAAGGAAGATACGTCGAATGATATCATAAATTTATTATCAACATTTAAATCTCTTATCCTTTCAACGAATCCAAATATATCCTTTACACTATGTTTCACCAAATCAGTATGAAGGGGTTGTAAGAGTTCGACTAACTATTTGGCTACAGAATGGTATGGTGAATTTAGCATATCTAATACTGGTCGCAGCGGTACACCATTTTTGTGCACTTTAGTCTTGGTGTGAACGTTCCGGTGGGTTTAAGTGATGTGTACTGACTCTGTGAGATGAAGCCTTGTTGTTTAATAATCTTCGGAGAAAGCAATTCTTAATGTGCTTAACTACACACTTGCTTTTGACTCTGTACTTACCTAGATGCTTTCAGTTTAATAAACTTACCTTGATACAAACTAAGTCCTGGGCTGTTAAGTGTTTGTATTCTTATTTCTCTAATAGAATGCAGTATAAGGGTGAATCTTCTTCCTCTATCTGGCTCCCTGAAGCTAGCTGGAGTCCCTCAGGGTGCTGTTTTCTCTCTCCTTTCTTTTTTCTTTCTTCTTACTACTACATGACTTACCTCTTTCGAATGAAATCAACTTTATCGAATACGCTGGCTGATGATATGACTGTCTGTCTCCCCGCCACTTATATCCCGATCTGACTGTTGCAAACTTTTAATAGCTTTTTATCGGATATCACTCGGTGGTCTAAGTTAAATGATCCTACGTTAAATCTCTCAAAATGCCAGACTGTTGACTTTTCATTTAGACATAAACGTGACCTACAACGACTGGTTTGTACATAGGATGCTTGTAGCATAGAGGGGACTGTAATAGAAACAACTAAGTCTAACACAAAATAACTTAGTATAGTTCTATCCTCTGATCGTACTTGATCATCCCATATTTTATCGACCTCCAAGAGAATGTTCCGTCTGAACTACTACATTAAGAAGCTAAGACAATCAGGAATCACTCAACGTCTGCTTTAACAATTTGTCAACTCGTGAACCTTACCTACTGTACTTTACTGACCCCCACCATTAGTCTTTCCTGGGCTACTCAAAAAGGGTATTGAAGGTTGTTGGCAGGACAAGTGGTGTACAGCTTAGTCAGCTTGTCATTACATTAGTTGATAGACACCTGAACTCATAAGATAAATGGTCTAAATCCATATTGTCTGACCATTAACACACCGTCTATGCTCAACTCTCCCCGCCTTGTATCTAATCTGGTAGAACTAGAAGTCAGTACAAAAGATAATATGCTCAATCGCAAGCCCGAATAGCTCAGTGGTAACGTCTCTGACTGCAGCACTGGGTGACGCGGATTCGAATCTCAGAAGGGACATGAGTTCCTTCAAGGTTGCAGATACGCCTTGCTGAAGAGTGCCAACTAGCACGAAACCTAGGTCCAAGGCTTC